GCAGGAGCTGGGGCAACCCTGATGGACCACATTTTGAGGGTGGCGGAGCAACAAAACTAAAGGACGCTGGGTCCCTGAACAACTTGGCTGGGGCAGCGGGAGGTGGGGGAGAGCTGCAATGCAAGGGAGAGACCTGGCTTGATCGCGAAATGAACTGTGCAACCTAAGTATTTGGTCATTGGAAATCTGTGTTCTAGAACCCAGACAGTAGTCTGATAGCAAGCCAAAGAGACGGTACATCCATGTCTGCAGCACTTTCCAGCTATGAGCAAAGCACTTGACCTCGTGAAGCTTGGACCTCCTTGGCTGCACACCTGTGTCGCGGAAGCATTTCACCAGACGAATGAGATGGCGTTTAACAAGCGCACGAAAACCGACTCTGACAGGTGCGGTCAGTCGGTGCGGAGACTGCCGGCCCTGGAGCCGCCACAAAATGCCAACAGGAGCCTGTGGCCTCCTGGATTCAGAACTTCCAGACCCTCCCACTGCCCTCACTGGCAGCACCGAGCCCGTCATGCCGCCGGCACAGCCCTGCCTCCCCCGGCACCACTGACCTCGGTCACCTCGCAGTCACCTCCTCCCTCCATGATGGTGGCCACAGGGCTCCCCAGTGGCAGCCTCTGAGCTGGGGCTCCAGCACACACCTGGCTCCTTGCTCTTGGGGACTTCAGCGTCCAGCGAGGAGGGAAGGAAGAAAAAAGTTCCGAAGCAACAAGCAAAGCCCCTGCTTGCTTGCTGAGCACTTACTCTGCCCGGTGCGGTTCCAAGCCGTCCTGACGGGTTTGCACTCCCAGCTGGGACAGCCGCCCTCCACCAGGCACCACGAAGCCCGGCCCGGCCCGTGTTGACGGGTGCGGAAACAGAAGCTCGGCCGGCTGAGGCCACACAGCCGGGAGAGGCGCAGCCAGATCAGGAACCCTGGCGTGCCAGGCTGCAGCAGGTGCGGTTCGTCACTGGTCTCTGCCTGGGGAGCTCCGTGGGTTTCACACACCAGCCTCCTCCTGCACGTGGGCCGTGGCCTGGGCGGCCGGAAACACTGGCCGGCCTCTCCTCTCTGCCCACTCCGCCGCTGTCCACCTCTGGGACCCCAGCCTCCCACCCAGGGCACCCGCGGCACTGCAGTGATGTGTTTGGTGCCACAGGAGTCACAATCGCTCGGCCCGCCCACAGCAGGTGGCCAGCAAATAGCAATTGCCTTGATTGATTGATTGATTGGCTCATTCTGAGGCAGCCCGAGGTCTCTGTGGCTCTCAAGGTCTCTCTAGCTGATGGTGTTCACCCTCTTCGAGCACCTCAAGGCCCCCCAGCTGTGGCCATCTCAGCCCCGCGGTCCCCTGGGGGAGGGGCGGTGGCGTTGCCCAGGTCAGAATCTGCAGGTACAGGATGGGGGGACTGAGGGAGGGCTGGCGACCTCAGGACCCTTGCTTTCCCAGCATGGCGGAGGGGCCCAGAGGCCGGACATCCTGTGTCGATGGCCAGCGGTGATCTTTCAAAGCCCAGAGAGGCTGGAGCCGCGGAGGCGGCTGCGCACCGTCCCCGCGGGCTGTGGTCTGGCACCTGGAGCCGAGCTGATCGATATCGCTGGGGAGCTTTGACTCCCTCTGCTGCCAAGTCTCCCCGGAGGCCCTAGGAACCGGCCAGCGGCATCAGAGAGAGAAAGGAAGCAGGAGTTTCTGAAGGGCCCGCAGCGCCAGCCGAGTACTCTGTGGCCTCGGTCCTCACACAGCCCCGGGGCAGGGGAGAGGGCTGCCGTGAGCCCATTTCACAGATGACTGAAGGGGAGCCTGAAGAGGGGAAACACTTCCCAGGGAACGTTCCCGGCAAAGTCAGCACCAACCCCAGCCAGGCTGCCAGGTCCCAGGTCGCGGGGCTGCACCGGGAGGCCACCTAAGGGCACCTGCAGCCACGCCCAGGCCGCTCAGAGCCTGCGCAGGGCCTTCTGCAGCCCCCAGCTGGGCGTCAGACACTTCCGGGAAGGGAAACTCCGGCCTTTCCATCCCTGCCACTTCCGGCCCATCCGGGAACGCCCCGCCCTCCAGAGCGCCCCATCCTCCCACACCCCCGATTCTCCAAGCCCCGCCTCCCCAGGCCGCCCAACAGCCAGGGGGCACCAGGCCCCTCACTGCCTCTGACCCGCAGAGCTCACGGGACACTCCCGCCCCTGTTGTGGTCTGGTCACTCAGCCAGATCCCCTTCCCGGCCCCTGCCTGGCCCCACGACCCTGCGACTGGCTCCTCAGTGGCTGCACGGAGCAGGGAAGGGGATCCTACATAAGGACACAGCACATGCCCTGGGACTGGGTCGTGTGCACCTGCGAGGAGAGGCGGTGCGCGCACGCACACACCGACCGGCATTAGTGCACCTGTGGTCAGAGCTGTAGAACTGCGGTGCCCCCATCGGCGGTCAGCTCTTCCCACTAATGAAGGAAGGCCAGGTCTTCCTAAGGGAAATGCACGATTGGATTCCAGACACACCAGGCCAAATCCTCAGGGCCCGCCCCTCCCCCACAGCGCCTTTCCCCTGTGGAGTGAGTTCCCCTGGAGGGAGAAATGGCCACCGCTTCAGGTCTCACGGCAGGAGCAGGGGCCTTCAAGGTCTCTTCCAGGCTGGGCTTTGGGCTGCACTCACCAAGGGCCGGGAGCAGCATTCTCCCACTCCCAGGAGAGCATGGGAAGGTCGCTGGCAGTGGGGAACCTGAGCCAGTCCAAAGGGCTTCTTCGCCCTGGGCCCTCCTCCCTGGCTCCCGTGCTGGGCCCTGCATGTGGTGTGTCCGTGTCCCTGCACACCCATATGGCAGAAGAGTCCACTCTGAGAACAGCTCTTCCATGCTGCCCGCCCAGCCAGGCACCGAGAAAAACCCCCGACCTCCACTCCCAGGCTCCTTCCCCTTCCTAACGCTGCAGGTGACGCCCAGCCTGCCAGGGCCCCCTGGGTCTTCCACATAGCAAGGTGCATCAGGAGGGCTCATCTCCCTCACCCAGCCCTCCCGCTGCAGCCCCAGTCCATTTGCTCCTCCTTGGGGTGTGCAGGGCACAGCTGGGCACCCCACCTCCCCACTGAGTCCCTCCCAGACGGGCTGGACCAGCTCAGCTCCGGGGTGCAAGCCTGCTGCTCTGCTGATCCTCCCCTGCACCAGGCTCAGCCTCCCCTCACTCCTGCAGCCTTGGGCCACACCACTGGGAGGCGGGGCGGTGTGCTCAGCCCCCACCCCCTGCTCTGACCCACGGTGTGACTCTGGCTGGCTGCATGCCCAGCAGAGAGAGACAGGAGCTAGGAGGGGCACAGAGGGAAGCCCAGCGCCCCTGGGCTCCTGGCTCCACCACAGACCCCAGCTCAAAGGTCTGAACCTCTTTGAACATCGATTTCTTCATCCGGTAAATGAGGACCGGACCCTGACTCATAGGTAGGTGCTTGAGACCATGCACCCGAGTGCTCAGCCCTGGCGCTTAGCTTAGCAAGTGTTTGCCAGATCCCGTGTCTCCTTACTTGTCCCCTGGCCCAGCAACGTCTCCCTCTACCTCGTGGGCTTGTTGGGAGATCCCACACCCTACGTCTCCACTGCAAGCAGGGTCTGTGTCCCAGGTCTCCTACACAGCGTTTCAGGCTATTGTCTGGGGGTTTTTATGAAGCCTGAATTCTTTTCCTAGTGATCCTAAGGCATTATTTTCTTTCTCACTCATTTTCCCACAAGCGTGGTGTTTCCCAGATGCCCATGTGTGACATCACAACAGGTTGAATGCAGAAGCCATGGAATCTTCTAGAAACACAAGGAGGAGCAGTGTTGGCTTAGCGGGTTGATCTGTGGCCTGCGACACAGGCATCCCGTATCAGAGTGCTGATTTGAGTCCCAGCTGCTTCACTCCTGATCCAGCTCCCTACTAATGCACCCGGGAAAGCAGCAGAGGATGGCCCAAGGCCTTGGACCCCTGAACCCACATGGGAGACCCAGATGGAGTTCCTGACTCCTAGCCTCAGCTTGGCCCAGCCCTGACCTCCTGGCTATCTGCGGAGTGAACCAGTGGATAGAAGAGCTCTCTTTCTGCCTCTGCCTCTCTCTGCCACTCTTTCAAAAAATAAATAAATCTTTAACAACAGCAAAGAGCCCACCTGCACAGAAGCCCTTGGTGGGGAGGGGGTCCTCCGTAACTGTTGGGTGTGGTGTAAGTACAGGGGTCCCGACCAAGATGTCTGAGAAGGCTGTCTCCTGGCACCCACCGTGCCGGCTGCAGAGGGTCCCCACAAACACGTGCTCGGATCGGCTGACCCCTCCCAGCCACACTGAGCCCTCCCGAGTCCCCATCCCTGGCCCACCTGCGCCATGCTGGTTACGACTCCCTAGGCGTCATGCCCAAACCTTCTGAATTCCAAGGACTTCACCCAGGACCCCTGGGCCTGGCATCCGGGTGGGCTATACTACAGCCTCTGCTTCCCCTTCCTCACTCCCCCCTGTCAGTCCCCACGGCTTCAGAAGGCTCCAGAGGCAGGTGTGCAGTCCAGACCCTGATGGAGTGATGGGTTCTGTGTTAGACAAGCCAGGCAGGTTGACTCTGGGCCCTTTAGCTCGTGCCCGGGGTGCACATGGGGACGAAAGAGCCCTCAATCGACTGGGGCTGCCCTGTGGGTGGACAAAAGCCTGGAGCAGCAGGTGTCCCCATCTCGTGGGTAGGGCTGGCCTGAGGATTAAGCCAGGACTGAACCAAGTGATGGGGAAAATCCCCAATTCCACCATGGGGATCCAGCCATGCCGAGACCTTCCTGGCACTTGGGCCAGACACATTTTTTGGTTGTTGTTGTAAAAGAATCTGAGTTTTCTTTGCAGCTGAATGAATCGGGATGAATGAGTCGCAGGGACCAGACCAAGACGTGGGTGGTGGGGAAGCCCCTGGAGGGTTTGGGGTGAGTCACCCACCACAGATCTGACGCCTCGGAGAGAGGCCCCTTTGCCCACTGGAGACCCCTGGCAGACCCCAGTCGCAACAACACAGCTGGATGCGAGCACGGGATTTTCTTTAACTTTATCATTTTATAAAGCCATACAATGGATCGCAAAGAAACCGAGCCGCTGTACAGAAGTGGGGACAGCCTCAGTGAACGTACATTCATACCCGGGACAGGTAGCACAGGCTGCGGTTTATACAAGGTGGTAGAGGCTATAGGCACAATGATACAAAATATAAAGTATATTTCCATCTATATAAATACAGCCGGGTTCTTCCTGCAGGGGGCCGGGTGGTGAGGAATCTTAACATTTGTTTTGAATGGCGTGTCAGAAGGGAGGCAAGAGAATGGGGAGACACAAGCACAGTCAGGTACTCTCTTACACACACACACACACACACACACCTACACCACGCACACAAACCCAGCGTGGATACACAAGAGACTGTCAAACCATCTAACGCTGGCTAGAAAACAAGCGTGGGACCTCCTTCCGTAACAACTCGCCACGGGGAAGAGGCCAGGAAACCCACAGGTCCTCCAGCTTCGAGGACTCCTGAGGACGAAGCGGCCAGGGAGGAACACGTGTGCCCGAGCCCCACGCCACACGGGTGGTCCTCGCCAGCCCAACACTGAGCCTCCACCCAGCAGCCGCCCCACGGGCCCCGCTTCCTGCTCCCTCTCTCCACTGAGTGATGTTGACCTTGACATCCATTGCTCATCATCTCTGACCACCCCCCACTGCCAAGTTCCTTAAAGGGATGTGAGCAAAACATACACCCATTCACATGCACACACACACACACACACACACAGACGTCCTGTGTTACCACTGCTCAAGGACACGAGGGTCTCAGTGCTGCAGGGCCTGGACTCGGGGCAGGAAGTGGGCCTGGGACTCTGCCCCCAGCCTCTTCAATGACCCCAAGTGTGGGGTTTGGGGGTCAGCCACCTCCTATGGCTGGGGCACTGCCCCTGTGATCTCCCCTGTTCTGAAGCTGGGAAAAAATAAACAAGGGGCAGATGACGGGGGCACAGGGCAGAGGGCAGCAGCCCAGCAGGAGGAAAGAGGCTGTTCATGCTCTGTGCCCCTGGGTGGCCTGGGAGCCCCGGAGCACTGCTCAGGCCCAGCAGAACAGGGCTGAAGGACGCCCTGCCCTCCTGCGTCCCAAGAGCCCCTTCTGGCCACTGGGCCACCACCCCCAGGAATTGCTCGGGCCCAAGTCCCGACAGGGTCCCAGCTTTCCCAGCTGCTGGGGGAGAGAAGGGTCAGAAGCCCCAGGCGAGGACTTGAGGTCTCTGTCCTCACACACCGTCTAGCGGAGGGAGCCAGGCACTGTTCACAGCCCAGCTCCTTGCCGCTGGCCTCTGGGCCCACTTCCCCCAGCCGCCTCCAGACCATCAGATCAGAGAGGCCCTGGGCCAGCTTCAGACGCCTGCTGGACAGCTGGAGAGGGGGCCTGGGCGGGGCCTCGGCCTGCCTGGGGTCCCTGCAAACCCGTTTTCCAGACCAGTGAGCACTGTCCTGACGAACAGACCCAACAACACACAGCGAACAGGTGGAGGGAGGGGAAGGAAAAAGCAGATACACGTCCACAAAGTAACAACAGTGAGTACAAAGTGCTTTCTTTTCCAGGAAGTCTTTGGCAAGAGACTGCAGTGCTGTGTGGTGCGTGTGTACCCATATGTGCGTGCACGTGTGTCCACAGGCCCACCCGTGAGTGTGACGTGGGGGCTATGGTGTCAGGCCCAACGTGGGGGACTGGGCTGCTGCAGGCTGGGGTCCCCTTCCCCTTGGTTCTCCTGGCAAAGCCAGGTCCTGGGCTTCCCAGCATGGACCTGGCTCCCTCCCGCACAGCTCAGGGCTGAGGTGGAGGGGCTGTTGGGGTGGGGTGGGGAGGTGGGAGGCAGGGATGAGGGCCAGGTGTGGAGGCCGGGCAGCCTCAAGTGTGGAGTGACCATCTGGCTGGGGGCTGATGAAGATATTTACAATAGCCCTGGCCTTGGCAGAGAACGGGGTTAACCATGCAATGAGGGGACTGGCCAAGCCAGGCACTTGGGTTGAATATCTCAGAAGAAAGAGCACTTTGGAGGGACCTCGCTCTTGGCGAAGTGGGAGGCCCCACTCCACCCGCCCCGTGACTTCAGACACTCTCCGCTCCCTGAAACACAATTGTCCACACAGATACAGCTCCCTGGAGGAGAAGAAATACAAGACACACACACACCCACGTCCACCACGTGCACCCACGCCTCCGCCACTCTGTGGCTCGCTCAGGCTGCAGCTTCCCCATGTACCCTGGGAGCTGACTGCCAGGCCCCGGACAGAGCCCAGGACAGGCCAAGGCCAGGGCAAGGAGCATCCTGGCAGCCCCAAGGAGAAAGGCCTCCTACATCTCATGACTTTAACAGATTGAAAGGGACGGGAATCAATTCATGGCCAGGGAGGCAAAAAAAAAAAAAAAAGCAGTGGAGGGGAACAATAAATACTTCTGGGCAATTTACCTATTCTTTTTTTTTTTTTTAATCTTTTCTTATATTTTATTAGCTTACAGATCTGTCAGTATGTCTCACATATATATTATATATATTTATATATCAGTCAATGCCTCGCTCTCAGGGACTCCACAGGCTTAAGAACGGAGTCCTGGTGAACTTGCACTCCAGCTTCCAAGTCCTTGGGTGGTGGGCAGGGGTTGCACAACTGCCCACGTGGACCCTAGGGCCTTGGGTCTAAATGCACTCCTTCTGCCCTCTGCTCCTGGGGCAGCGTGGCTCTGCTGGGGAAACCAAGGCAGAGGGGGAGCAGCGAGGCTTTGGCGTTGTAGGCAGGTCCACTGGTGGACACTGGGCACTGGGCAGCCTGGCTGGAAGGTTGCCTGTGGCAGGCAGACCCCAAAACGATACCCAAAGGGAGGACAGAGTGTGCAGGCCTCCCCCCGGGCCTGGCCAAGCAGAGCTTTGGGCAGAGGGTGGTCCAAAATGAAGCCCCACACTGGGGCAACAACAGGGCTGGGCAGAGTACATGGGCTCGACCCCCAGCCCCTACAAGGCATCATGCAGAGAAGCAAGTCAGAGATAAGGCTGGTTCTGGACAAGAAACCCAGGGACGGGGCCGACGGTGGGCGCTAAGGCAGAGTGCCAGGCACAGGCGGGCACCTCGCGGCGAGAGCAAGAGCCAGCACAGAGCTCAACTGGGCTCTTCCCGAGTCCCTTCCCCTAGGCCACGGCTCCGCGTCGCTCCAGCTCCTGGGGGAGGCAGGGGTGACACCGCAAGGGTGACTTCTATAGGGGAGAAGGGACTGGAGGTGCCCAGGGCCACCAGGGTGCAGGCGCGGGGACCAGGGTGAGAGAGCACCTTGGGTGCTCCTGCCAAAGGCACCTCTGTCCCCTCCCCGCTGCCCGGTCACCCCAGCCCTACTCTTTGGATAGCACGCACATTCGTGTGCAGACCTGGAGGGCTGATTCTGATTGCAGCCGCTCGAGGCAGCTCTAGGCCAACAGGTGAGGGTGCAGTGCAGACGCCCACGTGATACATCCGAGGCCCACCAGAGGGAGCATAGGGGCCAGTGAGAAAGTCCTGCCCCCTACAGGCGGCCAGGAAAAGTAAGATGATGCTCTCCTCTGGATTGCTCCTTGCAGAGCAGTTGAGTGAGGGAGACGGAGCTTTTCCACTCCCCAACACGGGTTCTCTGGGAGGCCGGCAGTTTCCTCGGGAAGCTCCATTCTTGGGAAGCAGGGCAGGGGGAGATGGGGGCCCTGGTTCTTCCGGGAGGCGGCTTCCATCTCCTCAGGGGAATATCCCCCTCAGTCTCTTCCTCTCTCTCTCTCTCTTTCCCGCTCCCGCTGTAATTCACTTCCCTCTCCCCACGATGCACTTTCTTCTCTCCTTCTCCAAAATCAGCCCAAAGTCCTCCTTCTGGATTCAAGGGTGGTCAGGATTCGCGGTCCCCTCCCGCTACGCCCCAGCCCACTGCCCTGGCCCTGGGCAAGGGGCGGGGCTCATCTCTTCTGGCCCGCACTCAGCATGACCTTGGAGACGAAGTTGACGATGGCAGAGGCTGGCTGGTTGGGGTCAAGCTCAGCGAAGAGGTGGCAGGCGTTGTCTGTGCTGCTACCCTGCTTCCGGGCCACGAAGCCAAAGAGCCTGTGGGAGCAGGGAGAGTGACAGATATGAGGGGGCAGGGAGAGTGACAGCTGTGGGGGGAGGGGGAGGGAGGGGTCTGGAGGCAGTGCAGGTGCACAGCTGGCCAGGCCAACCTCTCCGCCCCACCCCCAGTCTTCCCCGGGGTCAGGGGTTGGGGAGGCGCCCCACAGAACCTCCACCCTGTGAGGGCCAGAGACAAGCTGTGCACAGTAAGGGGTGGGGATGAGACCAGAAATAAAGCAGGGACATTCCTAGACAAGCGTCTCTGGTCCCTCCCAGCTCCACCCCACCCGAATGTTCTTACACAGAAATAAGCAAGGGAACAAAATGGCGTCTGCCTGCCTGGCAAAGGCACGGGCAGCCCCCCGCCACACACACACACACACACACACACACAGTCCTGCTTGGCTCCAAGGCCTGCGAGCCCTGGGAATAGAGGGGGGAGGGGATCCCTACACCTGTCCCAATCTTTGCCAGGATCCAGGGACCAAGCACCCTCTCCTTGCAAAACAGAGTTAAAAATACGGGGGTAAAGAACAGAATGTGCGCCCAGGTCCCCTCCCAGCCGGCCTGTTGCTAATTAGAGCAGGATAGGGACTTGGTCGTCGGGACAGCTGGAGATGCCACCCATGGAAACCCCTCGGTCGCCGGGGCTGCACCACCACGGCCAAAATTAGCAGAGCTGGGTCCTGCCTGCCTCTGTGAGCAAGTGCCCATCCACCCCCACACCGCCACACAGCACACACACACCCCACACTCCACACACACCACCAGACACACAGCCATACAACACACAACCACACACACAACCACACACCCCATACCCACAACACACAACCACACATACCTTTTACCTCCATACACATACACATCACATACATACCACACACTTCTCACACCTATACACATATGTAGCACACACAACGTGCACGCACCGATGTACAGTTCACACACGTGTGTGTGCACAACCCTCATTTCCTCTAACTTTGTTCTCCATGCTTTGTTTCAGGGGCGGGGAATGACAGGGCCCAGGATCTGGGGTAGTGCCCTGGTGCTGGGGAAGCCGGGGTCCGTGGGGCAGCCCCTGCACCTCCCCTTCCAGCCTGGCTGGGCCCATGGCATGGGTGCTCTGGGCTGAGTGAGGGCGTGTCACCAGGCTCCCAGCACCGGGCAACCAAGCACCGCCTCCTGCCCCATCTGCGAGCTCTGGCCCCGCCTGGAGAGGTAGCAGCACAAAGAGAAGCAGGGGCTTGCAGGCCCTGATGACCCCACGAGGCCCAAGAAGGTCGTGGCCCCCCTCGTCCCCATGGCCTTGTGAGAGCCCCCACCACAGGTGAGGCCACAGACTTCAGGGGTTCACTGAGGGGCCTCACTACAGCCTTCTCCTGACTCCCCTCCTCAGTTCTCCCATGGCTTCATTCAACAAATATTCATCAGCTTGCCCAGGGGATTCCCAGGGCCCTGCCACAGGGCTCTGCATCTGGTGCTGTGCTGCCCCTGCCCCGAAGTGTCGTGTCCCCCACCACACCCCCCACCCCCGCCACCCAAGTGCACTTGTCTTTGAAGAGTCATTTAAAAATAACCTTCCTGGGACCTGCCTTGTGTGACACCAGGCATCCCATATGGGCGCTGGTGTGAGTCCTGGCTGCTCCTCTTCCACCTGGGAAAGCAGTAGAAGATGGCCCAAGTGCTTGGGCCCCTGCACCCACATGGGAGACCTGGAAGAAGCTCCTGGCTCCTTGGCCGTTGCGGCCATCTGGGGAGTGAACCATGGATGGAAGATCTGTTTCTCCTTTTCTCTATCTCTCTCTCTCCCTCTTAGTTACTCCTTCAAATGAATGGATAAATAAATCTTTAAAAAATAAAAATAACCCCCCTGTCCCAAGACCACCCTGAGTTTCCACTGTCCGGACACACGCTCCCTTCAACACCACGCACAGCCGTGGGGCGCACCCCCAGCCCAGCCTCGCACCACCTTGGCTCCCAGTTTTCATTTTTGCAGAAAAGGTGCTCTTTTTCTAGAACAATCTGGTATGAAGTCAGAAGCTACAAAGGTCAAAGCAGCATTCTAGGGTATAAATCATAACTCAGCCAACCAGTGAAGACACGGGGCGACCGGGGCAAGCACACACAGCTAGGTGTGCCCATGGGGATGCCACATGTCGCCTTCAGCTCCCAGGGCATTCCTGTGCGTGGCGTTGGTTCTGTGAGCTTGGGAAATCCCAGGTTTGCACTGACAAACAACTGCCATAGGCTGCCAGGCAATTCTCCCTTCCCAACAGCGCAGGTGCAACCGGAAGCCCCCAGCCTGCAAACCCCTGAGCCACCTGTCCTGTGTGCTGGGCCAATGGGCTCCCAGAGGGTGGAGTCAGCACCCCCATGAGGTCTCTGAGTCCCTCAGAAGCACTTAGGGTGTGCTGAACTGATGGAGGACTTGACCAAAGTCCAGAATTCAGGCCTTCTGAATTCTCAACACACGAAGCCCACCATACGGCCAGAACGGGGATAAAAGCAGCCAGGAGTTGGGCAGAAAGAACCATCTGAACAACCGTGGCCCCAGTCTCTAATGCAGCTCTGCTTTCTGTCCATTGCCTTGGACCCCTGCTGGTTCCGAGACTGAGAGAGGGGAGGGAGGCGAGCAGACTAGGGCCTGGGTCCCTGGCCCTGCGATAGGGATCAAGCTCTACCTCCCAAACTGAGGGACCTGGGCCCGAAGGTCCTCGCTGCCCCCTTCCCTCGCCTGGGCCCGGGTTCCAGACTTGCCCCTGCTCCCCTCACCAAGGAGCCCCCCTCCCAGCCAGCTGGGCAGCAAAAAAAAAGAAGCCACACTCACTTAGCAGGGGCGCCTCCCTCCGTTTTCATCCACCTGTGGAAAGAAAGAGGGCTCAGTGTGAGTGACACAGCTTCTCCCCAGGGGCCCAGACCTGGCTGGGCGGAAGGCAGAGGAAACCCTGGTCCCCAGCAGACAGTCGCCCGTGCAGATCAGGCACAGGGGGCATGCGAGGTGGGGACAGCACTGTGGCTGCCTCCCAGGCACCTGCCCCAGTGTGGGGAGGAGCAGACTTGGAAGAGTGGGTGGGAGTGGCTAGTTAGCCCCTGAGGGGTCTCATGTCTCATGTCTGCGGTGGGAGACTCAGGCCGATGGTCCTGCAGAGCCAGGAACACACAGACCCAGCACCACAGAGCTGGGCGGGCGGCCAGGCGGCTCCAGGACTTACTTTCTTTCTTGTGGATCCAGGTCACAGAAGGTGACGGTGTTGAGGGGGTAGTGTCGTCGGAAGAAGAGCCTGTGGCACACATCAGAGAGACAGAATGAGTGCTTTTTCCCTCCTTCCACCTGCAGCCGAGGCTGCTTCCCACGGGGCTGCTCAGCCCCTCGCTGATGAGCAAATGGCCTGATGTGCTCCCACGGGCACCTGAGCAACACACAGGTGTGCCCCAGAAACATGTCCCAAGTGCAGGGGCTGGGGAGGAGGGGAGAAATTGGTACTGAGGAATGAGGAAAGAAAGGAGCCTGGAGGGAGAGGGAAGCAGCTGGGCACACTGTCAGGAGGCAGCCCAAGAGAAAGGGCTCCGCTCCAGGACGTAGGCACTCTTACCAGCTGTATGCACAGCTGCAGAGCCAGTGCAGGCGAATCCTTGTGGAAGGATGGATGGACAGAGGGGGGGTGATTGAAAGGGTGGAAGGAGGGAGGGATGGATGGATGGACAGATGGATTGATGGATAGAGGGTGGGTGATTGAAAGGGTGGAAGGAAGGATGGATAGGTGGATGGATGGATGATGGATAGATGGAATGAAAGATGGATGGATGGATAGAGGGGGTGATTGGAAGGAGGCATGGATGGGTGGATGGATGGAAGGAAGGGTGGAAGGGTGGATGGATGGATGGATGGATGGGATGAATGGAGGGGGTGATTGGAAGGGTGGAAGGAGGCATGGATGGGTGGATGGGTGGATGGATGATGGATAGATGGGTGGGTGACTAGATGGATGGGTGGATGGATGATGGATGGAAGGAAGGAAGGGTGGAAGGGTGGATGATGGATGGATGAGTGACGGGTGGATGACTGGATGGATGGATGGAAGGATGGAATGAAGGATGGATGGATGGATGGATGGATAGAGGGGGTGATTGAAAGGGTGGAAGGAGGCATGGATGGATGGATGGATAGATGGGTGGGTGAATGGATGGGTGGATGGATGGGTGGGTAACTGGATGGATGGATGGATGGATGATGGATAGATGGTTGGGTGACTGGATGGATGGGTGGATGGATGGATGGATGGAAGGATGGAATGAAGGATGGATGGAAGGATGGAATGAAGGATGGATGGATGGATGGATGAATGGAAGGGTAGAAGGACAGAGGTAGATGCATGGATGGATGGTGCATGGATGGATAGATGGGTGGGCAGAGGGACAAGTGAATGGGAGAGGGTAAATGGAGGTAGAATGGACATGCGTGAGTAAACAGGTCAGATGGTAAGTGGGTGAGCAGTGGATGGGAAGTTGGATCACAGGAGGGAGACCCAAACAGAAGCAGGTGGAAGAATCTTACTTTCTCTGGTTATCGGTCAGTGTGATTCCCTGGGCAGACACCTTGAAGTGAACAATGGTGGCAGCTGGCGTGGGGTCAGCAGCCAACGTCTCAGATGTGGCTTTGGAGATGGCCTGCGGCCCCGTGAGTGACTCCATGTCCACAGAGTTGACGAAGAGCACATTGCAGGCTGGAAGAAAGCGACCCAAGGAGAAGTCACGGGGCTGGAGCAGGTGGGGCCACATGCAGGCCCGCTCTCAGGGGGTAGGGAGCAGAGGCAAGTTCAAGCAGCCTTGGGCCAAAGCACCTGCACCCAGCCATGCGATCTGCCCAGAGACATCTGGGTCTGGGAGAGGCTTCCAGCCTGCACCTGCAGGAGGGGACAGGCCAGGAAAAGGCAGAAAGGAAGGCCTGGGCAGGGGTGCAGCATCAGGGGACCACTCACCAGCTCCTTGCTTTAGCAGGTCGGAGGTTGAGTTAGCAGGGCCAGAGCTATCTTTTGATTCATCTGTGGGGTCTGAGACAAAAATTCAGCTGGTAATTAAAACCCTGGAGCTGGAAAGCAGCACGCGCTTGGCTGGGCCTAAGGTGAGCTCCACAAATACTTCTGTGCAACGGACTCAGCTTTGCATAACAGGCCCTGGCAGTCGGCGCCGGGTCATGTTCCGTATGAATGTGCATGACTCTAAGTACCTGGCACACGGGGCGAGAGCTCTTCGGCAGGCAGAGCCCGGCTCACAGCCTCACCCCAGCACCTGCTAAGTCCCTACAAAAGGGAGATGATGACGGCCGACTCATCCCTGAGTGCTCGAGATCTTCCATGCACTCCGTTTAGCCCAGTGTCTGGCAAAGCAAACCTTCAAGCAGTGACTGGGCGGCGGTGATGGTGGTGGTGGTGGTGTTTTGCACGGATGAGTCTTTGTGTAGATCAACAAGTGCCTAAATCTTTACACCTCTAATATAGCACAACTAGAACTTCAATAGGAAGAATTCAGAACTGAGCCATGCATTTGTTAATTAGCTTTGGTCTGACCATTTCACGATGTATGCAGACATCAAGACACTGCGCACTGCACAGAATTCAACTTTTATCTGACAACTATAGCTAAACCTTTGAAAAATCAGGAGGGGATTTAGTATCTGTTATAGCAGGGTTTCTCACCCTCTGGTATGCAGGCTCATAAAAACACAGCTTTCTGGGCCCAGCCCTGAGCTTCTGTGGGTCTGGGGCATTTTTTAACAAGTTCTTGGGAGGGGCTAATGCGGCTGGTCCTGGGACCACACATTGAGAGCCATGGTTGATACAATTTAAATATCAAGCAGTTTCTGGTGAACTATTTCACTAAATTCCACAGAAACAGAAGTTGATTAGGCAGCTAGAGTATGCCATGAATGATGCTCTGTACAATGTGGATGACTGGGGCCATTACTGTGGGCGCAATGGGTTAAAGCCCTGGTCCTTATTGCCCACTTCCCATATGGGTGCCAGTTTGAGTGCCAGCTGCTCCTCTTCCAATCCAGCTCCCTGCTATGGCCTAGGAAAGCAGTGGAAGATGGCCCAAGTCCTTGGACCCCTGGACCCACATGGGAGACCTGGAAGAAGTTCCTGGCTCCTGGCTTTGGATCAGCTCAGCTCCAGCCATTTCAACCAATTGGGGAGTGAACCAGCAGGTGGAAGAACTCTCTGTCTTGGGCCGGCGCCGAGGCTCACTAGGCTAATCTTCCACCTTGCGGCGCCGGCACACCAGGTTCTAGTCCTGGTCGGGGCGCCGGCTTCTGTCCCGGTTGCCCCTCTTCCAGGCCAGCTCTCTGCTGTGGCCAGGGAGCGCAGTGGAGGATGGCCCAAGTGCTTGGGCCCTGCACCCACATGGGAGACCAGGAGAAGCACCTGGCTCCTGCCTTCGGATAAGCACGGTACGCCGGCTGCAGCACGCCAGCCACAGCGGCCATTGGAGGGTGAACCAACGGCAAAAGGAAGACCTTTCTCTCTGTCTCTCTCTCTCACTGTCCACTCTGCCTGTCAAAAAAAAAGGGGGGGGGGACTCTCTGTCTCTACCTCCCCCTGTAATGCTATTTCAAATAAATAAAATAAATCTTTTTAAAACAGGAGCATAATCTAAATTAAAAGAAAAAGATGTAGTTGACTTTTGGTCAATTACTAATATTTCCATGACTCACTTTGGTGAAATGGATATGGGCAAGTACTATTAAATTATAACTTCTGCAGCTCCAAGGAAGACCAGAGTGGAGTCCCTGGCCATGAGTCTAGGGGCACACCCGAGGTTCCTATCACCCAACAGGGAGGGTGGGGAGGAGGCACCCGAACCCAGGCCTCATGTTCAGTGTCAGCAGTACGAACCTCCCCCTGCACTGTGCAGGTGTACCTGTGGGTGGGTGGTAGAAGCCTGCACTGAGACATTACAGGCCCATCGCCACTCTCCAGAGCTGGGACATGGCCCTGGAGCAGCTCACATCTGCTTGGCCAGCTTAGCACGCCCCACCCCCCAGCTACACAGACCAGAAACCCCAGGCACAGGTGGGCCCTGCACCTCCCACCCACCCCCCGTGGAGCACATGCCTTCCTCCCCCCCATTCAGCCAATCCCCCTGGATGCCCACAGCTTCAGCCTGCCTGCCCCGGCCCTCCCACTGATGGCCCCCTCACCCAGGACAAGGCCCCTGGGGCTGCCTCCACTTGTCGTGCTCCTCTGGAATGAGGCTTACTCTGAAGATTTAATGTGAAATTCTCGGAGCCTCTAGAGAACTTTCTAGAACAATCTGGCAAGTCAATTATGAATGTTCCCGGAGTTAAGCTTTTTAATGAACTCTTCCTTCTTTTTTAATAGGGGATCGGGGAGAAGGAGGCTGGTTCTGAGGTTCCCCAAAATGGAAGAATGACCCGAGGATGCCAACCCTGGCAGGTGTTCTGGAGCGGCTGGCACGGCCGAGACCTGAAGAGGCCAGCTCAGGGGTGTGCTTGGCCGGTCGGAGCCTCGCGTGCCTACCTCGGTTTGGAATGACCAGCTTGCAGGGCAGAGCCAGTGGGATGATGGAGTGCTGGTAGACCAGGGCAGACAGAGATCCTGCAGGGAGCGGGGCAGGAGTGCATCAGGAGCAGGGATCCTGGGAGCCATGCCCCACTGCACCCCCCCCACACACACACATAACCTGAAGCTTCTGGATCCCACCAACCAAGGTCACCCCCTCTCTTTCTCAGCAGGACCCAAAGGAAAAGATTCCAAAGGCTCGCTTAGCAGTCATAAGGTGACCTAAGGGTTCCCTTTACAGAAAGTTCTTCCTAACCCCTGTGCCGAGCTCCCCTCCCCCACCCCCAGCTACTGGGACACTGCTGTAGACGGGTCAGGGCACTGTGGGAGCAAGTCCCAGCTCAGTCACTTATTGTGAATGTGCTCCTGGGTGAGTCTAAGTCCTCAGAGCCCGGTTGCCTCACGTGACCCCGACCACCCAGAAACAACGTACGGGACCCAAACAGAGGCTTTCCCATAGCAGGAGGTCACCAAGGCAGCTGCCCGAGTTGTCACCACAATTACAACCATAACCAGCCTGGGCTGGGCGGGACACACACAGACAGGAATGTGGCAGAGCTAAGGAGCCACAGCACAGAGGGAGGGAAGCGTGGTTCCTAGTTTTCTCTGCTCAGTCTTTGGAGGAGGGACTGGCAGAGGCTGTGCTGGGAAGAACTTGGGGTCGCGCCCCTGGAGAAGCCCGGGACAGGGCCAAGAAAGCCTCTCTGCGGCCAGCCCACAAGGACACAGGCAGGGGCAGCTCACCAAAGTTGGGCTCGTTGGGACATCCCTTGAGCTTCACTCCTCTGGGGCCGGTCTCTATCAGGAAATGCCTCACCAGCTCTTGGGTCATGTCCCCTGGGAAGAAGAGCAAGGGACAAAGCCCGGTCACTTCTGGTGGCACGCCTCCCCACCCCGCCCCCACCTCCTCCCGAGAGCACTTGGCCAGGAGGGCAGAAGGGGTCGAGGAGATAAAGCGGCAAGAACCACATGGGAGAGAGGGCCCACCACCGCCTTCTCCCCCACCCCTCAGGGAAACACAACTCGGGGTCCCAGTAACCTTGCTTCCCAGACCCAGCCTGCACGGAGGCCGAGGCTGGCTCTCCTGCACAGCCGTGACATCAGCTCGCCACGGCTTACAGAGCCAGTGAGCGCCACCGAGTCCCGAGCTCACCTTTCTTATTCTGTTGCATGATGCCTGGAGGCGGGGAAGACACCTTCATGGCCAGCCCATAGGCCCCCCGGAAGGAGTGGCTGTCGCGGATGATGAAGGCCCCTGGCTCCTGATCCTTGAGAAGAGCAATGGCTGGATTGGGAGGGGCAGGGAGAGAAGAAGAGACAAGACGTTGGTGGGCCTGGCTTCGCTAAAGTCCCTTCACTGAAGCCAGCGAGCTCTGTAATTGCCTGGGGAGTGTATATCTCGGGCTGTGCAGGCCACACAGTAGTCCCTGCGGCCACCACTCAGCCTGGCCGCTGCATTAAAGAGCGTTAAAGAGGCAGGCCCCTGACAGGTGTCCCTGTGTCACAGCAAAGTACTCTCCACAGCCCCGGGCAGCAGCAGGTTCGAGCCCGGGCTATGGTGCCGACCTCTGCCCCACCCCTACACGGCTCTTCTCGCCACCCTGGGGCAGACCTCATCTCCATGTTCCCATTCCCAGCTTTGGGTTCCTTATTTAAATTTTGTTAAAATGCAAAACTCCCCAGAAGACACAGAGAGTGAAGGCTGCCAGGAACCACGGATCCAGACCCCCCCAGGTGGCGGCCCAGGCTGGGGCTTCCAGGGCTGCCCACTGTGTTGCCATGGAGACCAGAGGCCAGGTGGCCTTGGTGGGCCCCAGGGTGCCGGCCCAGGCTGGGGCTCCCCGGAGTGGTTGCTGCACTGCTCTGGGGGCTGGAGACTGCGTTACCATGGAAACCAGGACCCGATGGACCCATCACCTGGCGGTGGCTTAAACTGGGGCTGCCAGGGGCTTTGCCACTTCCAAGGATGCTTCCAGCCCTTGCTTCTGCCCTCCCACACTTGGCTGCAGGAAGTGCCTCTTGTTGTCTGACTTGGATCTCAGCCCCTCTCCCCCAGTGTGGCTGTCTGCTACAGCAAAGCAACATGGGTGTGTCCCTGCTCCATGTCCAGGGAAGACCCCACCCCGTGTGTCCCCAAGGCCCCAGCACTCACCCTGCTCTCTGGAGATCTCGGGCTTGTACCAGTACTTGGAAGTGTCCTGGACAAACTTCACCTTGGCCCGTGTCTCGGGGCTATTGTCTAAAGGAGAAGAGAAGGTGTTCTGGGTTGAACTGTGCTGAAGTCCTAACTCCCAATACCTGTGAATGTAGCCTTATTTGGAAACAGTGTCGCTGCAGCTGGGATCAAAGTGAGGTGAGGACGGGAATCAGAGCAGGGCTAACCCAGGCTCACTGGTGTCTTCAGAAGAAGAGGGGGAGAGAAAGAGGCATGGAGGAGGGAGGGCTGGGGGGAATGTGTCCATGAGGACACCGAGCATGGCCAGCAACCAGAGAAGCATGGACAAGGACTGGGCCACGTGCCCTCCTGCTGGGCCCTTGCCTTCAGATGTCCAGCCTGCAGAACACACTGGCGGGGGACTCGGTGCAGGCAGCCAGCCCCAGGAAACACCCAGAAAGCTGGGGTCCTCAGACTTCCCCGTGCACAATGGCAGGAGCCCAAAGCAGCCTCCCCAGCCGTCAGTCCCCCTCCCAAGCGGGGCAGCCAGTGCCGCAGGTGCTGGAAAGCTGAGCGGGGCAGGACCAGGGGGCAGGCTGGGCCCTCACGGCCTCCTCCTCAGTTTCAGCTTGTGGATGACACCCCCTGAGGCTCCTGGGGTCTGTCTCTGGGAGTCAGCTCCCCTTCCCGGCAGCTGTGTGCAGAAGAGGGCCTGGGGCCAGGCAGCTGGGCCATGCAAGTGCTGCAAGCTGAAGCCCCAGGCCCCTGCCACAGCGCTGTTCCTGTTTAATGAGCTGTCAGAGGCGGCTGCAGTCCCATGTGCCTTCCTGTGTTGACTCCACAGGCTATTTTAAGCAAGGAAGATGGTGGGAAACAGGAAGTATCCCAACTCCTAGAAGTCTCACATCCTTCAAGGAGAGGGGCTGGGAACCAGATGTCCCCGGTGGGCGGCAGGAAGCAGGGAGGGGTGGTGTGGGGTCACTCTAGGTGTCCGGGCCTGGCAGGCTCAGGGTCGGACCTGGGAGTGACCTAGGCAGAATCTGGGCGCCTAGGACCCATGCCTGACTGGCTATCTGAAACAAACATCCTACGTGCCCAGGGCTGTAGGACCGCTCTGCACACAGTCAGGTTAGAAGTCTGGCGAAGAAGCTGGGGGCCAGCTCAGGGTGTGACCCTTGTGTGAAGATAACGAGCTCTCTCTGGTGGAGGCAAAGATGCTGAGCTCTGGTTTTGGCGGGGGGGGGGGGGGGATTCAACATACAAACCTGCGTGGGCTTCCATGAGGCCATGTGCATAAAAACCAACCTCCAACCCTCGGTCTTGGCCAAAAGGCACCTGGCTGTGTTCACCAGCAACTGGCAAGGTGCATATACCCAGGGTTTGGAAGCCATGTTTTCAAGGTTATGCTAAAATCACCCTTGGAATGATAAAGACAACTCCAGCAAGGCTTGGGTTTGGGGCCTGGATTGGAAGCCTAGCTCTGCCGGTTATTAAGTATGTGACACCAGAGAGACAGCAGAGCCTCTAAGCCTCAGTTTGCTTGTGTGTAAAATGGGGCAGGCACACCTGCTCGCCAGGTGGCTGTGGGGGTCACACGAGACAGTACTTAGCCACGCCCAAAGAGCCTGGCACACAGCGCGTGCTCCACAAGCAGGAGTGGCTGTGACGGCGATGGTGATCCTAAGAGGAACGCCAGTGCCCACCGTGATTCTCGCCCTCCTCATCCACAACCAGAGCACGCCTCCCACTCCTGTGATACAGACGAAGCAACCGAGGCCCGGAAGTCGGTGGTGCACCCAAGGCCGGGTGCCAGGCGAGTGTCAGGACAGAGACGGGGACCCGGTCGCCCAGCAGGAGAGGCGGACCCACCTGGCATGGAGTACTTGGAGAAGTCGGGCAGAGTGTGGGAGAAGGAGACAGTGCTGCTGCCGCTGGGGCTGGACATGCCACTGGCCACGGGCGAGGACGACACCTTCCCATTGATGGTGGCATAGTTGGGGAGGCTGCCGGCCCGGTCGCCCATGGACATCCTCCGCTTCTCTGGCAGGGCAGGGGTTGGGCTCCCTTGCCTGAAGGCTGCAGAGTCTGGCGACGGGGAGGTGGCAGGGCTGCTCAGGCCTGGGTAGTAGGCGGGGGAGACGGGGAAGGAGGGCGTGGCAGGAGCCTGGTAGCCAGAGGCACTGCTCTGCCGGGACAGCGTGGGTCTCCCGTCTTCAGGGGTACAGTAGCCCCCGTAGGCTACGTGCCGGTCCAAGCTGGGGCTGCCAGGAACCACAGATCCAGACCCCCCCAGGTGGCGGCCCAGGCTGGGGCTTCCAGGGCTGCCCACTGTGTTGCCATGGAGACCAGAGGCCAGGTGGCCTTGGTGGGCCCCAGGGTGCCGGCCCAGGCTGGGGCTCCCCGGAGTGGTTGCTGCACTGCTCTGGGGGCTGGAGACTGCGTTACCATGGAAACCAGGACCCGATGGACCCATCACCTGGCGGTGGCTTAAACTGGGGCTGCCAGGGGCAGCCATGCTGGGGTTGATGGCCCGCCGACCGAAGCCGGGGCTAGGGGGAGTGTTGGTGCCCACTGTCCTGTGGCGTGCCTGGGGGCTGCCTGGCACTGTGTGGACGCCAGCCACACTGAACTGAGGCCGGGCCTGGCTTTCTGGAGAGGAACTCAGTTGCTGAAGTGAGTAGTCAGGGCTGCAGCCACTGCCCACAGCGGGGAGAGGAGACGAGCTCTGGTAACTTCTCCGGCCGGACCCGCCATGCTGCATCAGACTGCCGGAGCGGAAGCCAGGATCCAACGAAGGCTGTGTGGGTGTCCGGCGGCCCTGGTCGCCGTTCTCCCCTGATGGCACGCTCCCTACGGAAGTGCTGGTGAGAGATGACAGGTGGAGCGGTCAGGGGGTGATACGAAGTGAAGGCAGCCTCCCAGCGAGGACCACACCTGCACCCTAACGCATCACGTTATGGGACCGCCAGAAGAAACCAAGGCACCCAGAGGTGAAGCAGTAGACTAGGGACCACACAGCTCAAGAGGGACCAGGTTCCAACTCAGCTGCGTCTGACTCCAAAGCCACATTTTGTCCACTGCACCAACAGACTCCTGTGTCACACAAAGCAAAGCCAAATGCCCTGGAATCGACCAGTGCTGCAAAAGGAATCAAACCACCCGGATTCTGCCCCTGCCTTGACTCAGGTGCCCCAGGGCACTGTCAGCCTTCAGCCCTGTGAATGCCAACGCTGGATTTTCACTCCTGAGTGGCTCTAGACAAGCCAAGAAACAGCTCACAGGGGAAGTTTCAAATCAGGGGAGTTGGGCCTTTGTGAGGGCAGCTTGCCAAGCACTGGCTTTGGCCACTCACAGAGCTAGCTGCCTTGCATGGCAATGAGATAAGAAACAGTGAGGCCAGGGTTCATGGAACATCAGCAGTGGCTGGTGGGGTGGAGGCAGGGAAAGTCTCTTCCTTGAAAACAGGGGACAGTCAGATGTCCAATGCAGTGCGGCCCAGATGGCATAGGGCACGGGGGTGGGAGGGGGTGCAAGCTTGGCTTCAGGGCCTGAGCCGCAATAGGGCGTGCAGGCCTGGCCTGTGGTGTCCCCGGCTGCACACAGGGTGGGCTTGGGAAGGAAGGGATGGCCAGGACTCAGTGTCCCTTTCTGACAGGAGTTCTGGTCAGTGCAGGCTGCTCCGGTCCTCTTTCTCACTTGACACTCCAGGCCTGGCCGGAGCTGACCTTAACCTCCCTTCCCTACGTCAACTTTCCTCTCTGAGTCCTAAGGTCTTCCTCACCACCCCAGCAGAGCCTGGGGCCTGTCAGCAGGGGCTGCCCAGCCTCCACTGCCCGACCCTGGGCACCCAGATGCACCCAGACAGACGGATGCCAGCCGTGCAGCCGCCCAGACATTCTCGCTGGCAGGCCTCATGCTCCTAGCACCTGGCACCTGGCCACACCCCCAGTGCCCGGTCCTGGCCGTGCTGGCCTTCGGGAGTGTCCCCTGTCTTTCCTCATCTTCCAGCATCCTGCCTGTCCTCAGAAACCCTGGCCATATCCCTGGCCAGAACTAGTGGCCCTTCTCTGTGCTCCAAGCACGTTCCTCATCTGTCAGCTTTGGGCCCAGCTGGCGCTCACCCTGCGAAGGGCAGGCCCTGGGACGCAGGTCTGGGGAGAAGATAAGACACAGGGGGCTCTGCCAACCACTCGCCTTGGGCGTGAATCCGGCTCCAGAGGCTGCTTAGCCGCAGCACCTGGAACAAGCCCTTCACCTCTGTGCTCCGGCTGCCTCGCTCAAGGGCGGGAATAACGAGAGCGTGGACCACCGAGGGTCACTACACCGAGGGGAGTGCCTGGCCCCCAGGAGCATTTACTACGTATTGCTCATCTTGTACTCTTTCCAGCACAGCTGTGGGCAGGTGGGCCAGAGCACAGCCTGGGAGCCCCAGCTCACTCACCCTGGGAGCTCCCCGTGAGATTCAGCCCTCAGAGGTGCCCTCGCAACGTGCCTTGACGCGGGGTTCCCTAGGTGCACCACCTGGCTGATTCCTGCTGTCGACACCCCAGACGTATCTAACAGGCCCACTCCTCCCCTAACACTGTGCTGCCCCAGACCTGAACCCTCAGCCCCTCGTGCTTCCCTCCCCTGCTCACCTGTCAGCAGTGAGGATGGGGCTGCCGGTGGACAGGGGGCTGGGGGAGGCAAAGGAGCCGCCCGGGGTCCCGTTCCTCAGGGCTGCCTCGGAGCCATAGGCCTGAGCAGACGGAGTGCTGAAGCTCTTGGGCTCAGGGTCCTGGGCTCGGGGCCCGGCCACTGCCGTCCGGGCCACAGACTCCACGTAGCTCCGGGGCTCTGCGGGGGGCAAAGAGTAGAGACCCTGAGCACATTCCCCAAGGGGTGCAGCATGGGCCCCACCCACTCCCACAGGGAACACAGAGCTCAGAAATGTCCCCAAAGGATGCAAGGGGAACCTGTCCCAGCGCCAGCCCCCCATACCTGCCCTGCCCCACGCTCAGACATGCATTCCCGAAACAGGCCGCCAGGGACCTCCCCTGCAGGCACGTCTCCAACTGCTTCTTTCTTCCACACCCCTCCCACCCAGCCCCTGGGCCCTCAAGGATCCCCTTCCCCGCCCGCCCTGCCCCCTCGCTCAGATCTCAGGAGAGTGCCAGGGTTCAATGAGGCTCCTCCCCACACCCAGAATCCAGGCTTGCTCAGTGGGCTCCAGGCCCACCCCTTCCACCTGACACCCTCGGCTTCCCTGGGGACTGCCCATGCCCACGCAGAGCTGGACACTCTATCGCAGTGGACACCAGTGTCCAGATACACAAGGCTGGCTCTGGGCGGCCCAGAGTGGAACCCCGGCCTGTGGGGGCACCCAGAGCCCATGAGCCAGCTCCTCCGGGCTCTTTGTAGTGATAGCAATGGCAAAGATCCGGGAGCAAAGCAAGATCCCAGGAAGGCAAGCACCAAGTTGCCAGGAACCAGGTGATCTGGCCCAGAGCTCCAGTGCCCACCGCACAGACAGCCATCTGGGAGCTGATGGCTTCAGTCTTGAGGAGCTGGCTCCTTGCCCTGGGGGGACACCCAGTGGCACTCTCAGAGGAACACTGACCCACAGAAACCCACATAAGACTGACACCAGGCCAGAGCCCCCACCATCACATACCACACACTTTGTCCAGGGTCACTCTCTCCAATAGCGCCCCCTGGGCTCTTCCAGGAGCCAGACTCAGCCTTACCAGTTCCTTGCAATGCTCACCACCCACTTCTACCTACCCCCACCCAGGGACAGCAATGGGGCCTCCCACGGTGCCCAGAGCCCACCTGGCTGAGCTGCGTTCCCGGTCTGGCATCCACCAGGCCTCCAGCATGTCTGTCCTGCAAGTTACCAGCCACACGACCCTCACCTACAGCCCCACCCAGGGCACAGCCTGGGAAGCATACGTTTGTTTCTTTCAAGTTAAAACTGGCACAGATGACACCCTGCAGGCCCATACTGGCTTCCCTTGGTGGAGGTCTTGCTGGACCACTTTCTCCTCTGACCTGCACCCCTAGAGGCCCACAGGTGCCTGCTGGGTCACCCAGACCCCTTGGCCCTGTGGCTCCAGATGGCTTTGGCCTTTGGCCACTGGCGGGGAATGACTGATGGCTGCATCCCTCTCCCCAAGGCCACAGCTCTGGCCAGTGGCCCCACCTGCTCTCTCCTGCTTCCTTCAGTCCTGGGGTGGGTGGTTCTCTGCCCCTGCTAGGGAGCACATGGTGGCCTCCACCATTCCTCCTCCATCTGCCAGGCCTTTTAAAAGTCCACTCATGAGGCTGGCTGGCGCTGTGGTGCAGTAGGCTAAGCCTCTGCCTGAGGCACCAGCATCCCATATGGGCACCAGTTCAAATCCCAGCTGCTCCACTTCCCATGCAGCTCCCTGCTACGGCCTGGGAAAGCAGTGGAAGATGGCCTGAGTGCTTGGGCCTGAGCACCCACTTGGGAGACCCAGAGTAAGCTCCTGACTCCTGGCTTCAGATCGGCCCAGCTCTGGCCACTATGGCCAGATGAAGACCTTTCTGTCTGTCTCTCCCTCTCTGCCTGTAACTCCACGTCTCAAACAAATAAATTAAAAAAAAAAAAAAAGTCCATCACATTCTCGATGGCCCCCCAGATATGAGCTGCTGGTTTACCACCAGGAGCCTGACCCACATGCTGGGCAGGCAGCTCGCACCCTTTAAAAAGCATTGCACCCCTTCTGCCAACAGGGAACTGAGGTATAGGGCCCACACCACCCCATCCCATAGGCAGTCTGGGCCGAGCCAAGGGCTCATGGGTACTGACCCCTATCTGGTCTGTTTGCCATCAGACAAAGCTTGAGTCCCTACAACTCTTCTGGTCTAAACATAACAGCCCGAGCTGAAGGCTGCCTGCCTGCCCTCACCCCACCACGCACCTCCCTTCTCCTCTCGCATGCCACGCCCTCCTGCAGGGAGCAGGTGCACCCTCCCTGCCCCTCCAGTCCCAAGTCAGGGGGTGGAGCTGAGTGCAGCCCTTCCGGGCAGTCTCCACCGCCCGCAGCCTGAGCAGCAGCGGCCTTTGGGAAGTTGCCCATTTCCTGAGTTTGTCTCCAGATCTGTTAGAAACCCAACCCAGCCTGTGGGGCCCAGGCCAGTACTCCCAACTTGTCAGGTGCAGATTTCTCACTGGGCTGCTTGCTTTGTCTGCCTGTCCCTGGGCGTGCTGTCCCCGCGCCACCCCAGGGCATGTTCACAGCACGGGCTCCCCTTCTTTCCTTTACCACAGCCTTTCTGGGACTCACTGTGCTCACCCGTGAAACTGGAGTACGCGTGCCCACCTGCCCGGCTAGGATGGCCTGATAACAAAGGCCTCTAGCTCCTTCCTGCCAGTTCCAGTCCCAGGGATCAGAACCAGGCCTCTCCCCCTCCCCTCCGCCATGGCCATCCTATGTCTCCAGTGGCACCTGCTCCTGACTCCACCTTTTTTCCCCTCACCCTCCCTGCTGCGGTTTCCCTCGCCCCCTCCAATCCTAGGGCAGGTGCACCCAGAGACAGAGGGAGGTGGGGCTAGGGAGAGCGCTTCCTGTACAACATTCCAGGGTCCCAGACCCACTCCAAGAGGCTGTGGCACAGGAGAGAAGTGGTGCTGTGGTCTCCACCCCAGGGTGCCATCACTCTGCATCCCTACCCCAGACACAGTTTCTGCCTCCTAGAAAAGGCTCTTGGTCCAAGGAGAAGGGTGCCCACCCTGAGTAAGAAGGCACGTGGGAGAGGGAAAAGGGCAGAAATACCCAAGTCCCCCAAGTCCAGGAACCAGGAGATGAAAGGTTGTCATTTCAAACTTCTCAGCGCCCGTATGCCCCGATCCCACCCCGACTCAGCACTTGCGCCTGATGCTGAAATACCTATGGGCATCTCCCCTCCGCAGGCTGCCCCACTCACCTCTCTGTCCTCAGTGCTCAGCACAGGGTCTGATACATACAGATGTGCAATGAACCTGCATTGCACGAAACCCCAGAAGCCTCAGAAACCTCCCGCCGCACATCTTGGAGGAGGAGGACCCAGAGAGGCCATGGCTAGTGCAGCGGCTTCCTTTACCCCAGCTCTGTGTGTTCCTGACCACCTGCGCCACACTCAACCTGCCCTGAATGCTCCCTGCGGTGGGGAGACAGGCCCAACGCGGGCCTAACACCCTCGCTGCTGCAGGCTTCGTCCTCTTATTCCTTCGTGGCTCCCCACACCCAGTCAGGTCACTGTGGACCCGCCCAGTGCAGTCACAGGGAAAGGGGCAGCCCACCCCATGCAGGCTCGTGGCCATGCTCCCGCCTGGACAAGTCACCGAACTTCCCCAAACATCATTTCCTTGTTGGCAAAACTGGGCTCCTGGGGCCAGCATTGTGGCGCGTTAATGCACCTGAGAAGGCAGCGGAAGACGGTCCAAGCTCTTGGGTCCCTGCACCCACTTGAGAGAACCAGATAGAGTTCCAGGTTCCTGGCTTCATTACAGTCATCTGGGGAGTGAACCAGGAGATGGAAGATCCTTCTCTCTGCTTCACCCTTTCTCTCTGTAACTCTGACAAATAAATTTAAAACATCTTTAAATAAAAATGGATCTCTATTGCCTTCCTCTTGATGTACCTGTGGTGACTAAATTAGGCGATGTGACAAGGACCTCACATGGTCCCTTCCCATTTAACCTCACTACAAGCCACACACACTCTGACTTTGCTGGAAAAGGCACACTGTTCTCTCTCACTGCAGGGCCTTTGCACATGCCATCAAAAACACAGCGCCTTTCCACCCAGGGCTTTGCACATACCCTCCCTTCACAGGGAATGCTCTCCTTCCATCTCAGTTTCAACAAGTTAATGTCACTCCCCCATACCTCTTTCATCTTCAGCCCAAGTCCATTCTTCACTGTATCCTTCCATACGACTGTGTCACTTCCCTCCAAAGTACTTAACTCAGTGCCTAATTCTGAGTGACCATTTGAAGCCCCTGTCCCCATGTATGATCTGTGAGACATCTCATACATACTGCTTATCCTTATATCCCACAGCCTGCCACAGTGCACGGCACACAGTAGGTATACAGAACACTTATTGAGTAAACAAATCAATGATGAAAAGGATGACTGTGCATAAAGCATTTAGCACAAGGCCTTGAACACAACTGACACCTCCCAAATTCTTCTTTGTTCCCAGTGAATAATTCTATCATTTCCCCTCACAGGAAAAAATGAATATTTTTTCTGACTTTCCCATCAAAGTATCAGCAGGAAAATCAAGCACAGCTTCTGAATGTCAGCAAAAGAAAATGTGCTCTCGCCTGACCCGGGAGGTGGTATGTGAGTCGGGAAATCTGGGACTGGCTGCCCACAGCCATGCTCCCTGGCCCTGGCCGGCCTCACTGCCCAGGCAGCAATGCCAACGCCCACGCTGGAATCCCAGGGCAGGCTGCCTGGAGGAGGAGGGGAAGGCGATGGCCCCTGGACGAGGAGACAGGGCACTCATATCTCCGGTGTGGTTCTACGGACTCCAGACTGCACCTGTGGGCAGATCCCTCTCCCCAGCCACCCAGGGACCTGTGACGAGGATCCGTGTGCCAGGTCACCCCCTGCGACCCTTCCCCACCAGACTCTGCAGCTCTGGGACAGGTGGAGGCCTGGGGAGCCCAGAGCCACATGTGAGGCCAAGCCTGTCCACCCACGGGATACTCTGTGCCCCTTGCCCTGGAGAGCATCAACCAGGCACAAGGAGAGCTGAGAGTCCACTGCGTGGTCGGCACCTGAAGGCCAGGAAGGCTGGCTCAGCTTGCTCTACACACCTCTCCCAGCTTCACTGCCCTGCTGGGGGAGCCAGCAGTCTGGCCTCCGACCTGGGGAGGAGCAGGGAGGGGCTTGGCTGGCAGACGGAACACGCTGCGGCCCACTGGGTTGCCTTGGTCAGTAACCCCAGGCAGCCTGATGGAGCTCAGGCTCAGGCAAGGCCTCTGGGGTGCTCCAACCATCTCGCCTGGGTGACGGTGGTGGCTGCAGCCAGGCACAGGCCATGCCCGTGCTGGGGGCAGAAATCAAGGTGCTGAGCGTAGAGCCAAGGTGGAAGGGGCCACATAAGGCAGGGCCCAGGTGGGAAGTCAGGGCACCCGGCCAGTCAGCTCTGGAGGGGACAATCCCTCCTGGGGGAGAAGCGGATGCTCGTGCCCAGCACCAACACCCAGGGACCCCGGCTGGCACCAATCTGTGACCAGAGCAGGGCGGGGTAGGGTGAGGGGCGATGTCCCCTTAGGGGACGTCCGCCACACTGGGGCCATTTCCAATGCTGGGCACTCTACAGTGCACAGGGCAGCTCCCTCTCCCGCCCCCACGGAAGTGTCAAGTTCAAAGGCTGAGACCCCTGTGCAGAGACGCACGGGGGATGGGGAACACGAGCCCCTTCCTGTCCCCTCTGTGCGTGGCCGCACACCCGGCAGGATTGGCGCCAGATGTCGCCATTTGTGTCAACAAGGTGGCAGCGGCGCCTGGACTCCGGCCGCGCCTGACCCAGTGCCCAGCGGCTGCAAACTCCCCAGGCGGGACTCGGGTGCTGCCCAGGGTGATATCTCATCGCCAGGGCGCGGGGACAGGAAGGCTATGCGTCTGGTCACTTGAGACCCGGTCAGAAAGGGGAGCTGTCCTGAGCCAGCCTTGCCAGGGGCCAGCCATCGCCAGACCCAGGGGGCGGAGCGGCCGCCGCCAGCCTGCACTTACCTTCCGGGAGCTTGGCCACCACTTTGCCTTCATCTTCCTCCGAGGGAAGATGAAAAGAGAGGTGGGAGGAAGGAGAGGCAGGACAGAGGGGCGGGAGATGGAGATGGCAGGAGAGCCCGAGGAGAAAGAAAGAGAGAGAGAGAGATTAACAAGGATTGCTTCACAGGAAAGAGACTTCGCTGAGAAAGGGGGAAGTGGGAGCTGGAGGGAGGCTTGGGAAGAGCCCATGGAGGGGGGCTGAGGTCCCTCTCTATGGGACCCTGGGGCTGTGACACACGTGGGACTGGTGCTCGGGAGACTGGACCTTTCGCAGCCCTGGCGTGGGGGCTCCTGTAAGCCCAGCCTCAAGCAGGAGTGCGCTGGCTGGTGAGAGGCAGCCCCCAGCCCCCGCCACTTGCTGGTGACTCAGTGCCCCGGTCATGCCGACCCCTCCTGAGCGGGAGGCTGTGCCCGGCGTGTGGTTGCATGGTCACACGTGCATGCAGTGCCCTCCTACCTGGCCGCATCAGCCTCCTGGGGACTAAGGGAAAAAGGTACAGGTGACCCCAAGAGCCCCAGCCCAGCCCCGGACTCCAGGGATCAGCATTCCAGGCCCAGTTGGCTCCAAATCACCACTGAGGGCCAGGGGCCCCTCACACCCTCCTTGCACAGGCACAGTGGGAGTTGGGGCCTGCAGAGGAGATGCTGGAGGGCATGACCCCGGGTGGCCGTCCATGGTGGAGGACGAACCTCTCCCCAGAAGGCGCAGGCTGTGTTACTGCGGGGAGGCTGGGGACAGCCCGGGGCCCAGCAGCAGAGTCCAGTGCTGCCAGTGCCACAGGGCGGATGAGGGGACAAGCAGAGCCAGGGGACAGGTCAGGAGCACCAGGGACCTTCAACAAGCAGGGAGACCCCAAGTGGAGGGTGAGAGGGTCAAGGGGGCAGCAGACAGTGGTGGCTGCTGCTGCACCAAGAGTTCCTTAGGCAAGAGTCAGAGTGCCCAGTGAGGCCAGGAGGGCCCCTGGCTTGACCGTGGCCGGGCCTTGACATCTCAGGGATGCTCAGACCTGGACTAGCTGGGCTACGAGTGGGACCCTGGCAAAGGGCATGTGTGTGCACATGTGTGCATGTGTGCAACTGAGTGCATGTGTGTAGGTGCGTATTCATGTGTGTGCACGTGTGTGCATGTATAATGTGTGCAGGTGTGTATGTGTGCTCAAGTGTGTATGCACTGTGTGCACATGTGTGCATGTGCACACAAGTGCCTGAACACTGGAGACAGGGGGGTAGCCAGGCTGCTAGCAAAGAATGAGCAACCCCAGGGACACTGAAGCCAGGCCCCCAATCTCTGAATCACAGGAGCCTGGGAGTGGCACTGACCCCACAAGTCAACAGGCAGGAAGGCAGCAAAGGGACCGGTCACTCCCAAGTCCTGTAGAGGGTCCCACCCAGGCCCAAGCACAGTGCAGGCTCCGAGCCCAATGGCCACCTCTTCTCCCACACTGGGTGCTTTGCTGTGAGACTCTGAGCACAGAGACCTCCTTCCCCCACCGCACCCCACCTCCTGCAGCCCTGCCAGTCACTCACCACCTGTGGGGTGCAATAGGATGTCCGCAGGGTTGTGGGGTTTCAGGCCCAGAGCAGACAGGGGCGTCTTGGCCAGACCTGGAGGGGAGCGCACTGTGCCGGGAAGAAGATGAGGATGCGAGCGTGAGACAGGTGGGGGCAGCAGCCGGCACACGCCCCCACGAGGGACCAGCCCCGGAGCTCCCGCTGCCCTCTCCTGCTTCTGTTCTGCCCATGGTGCAGCAGTTGAGAGAACCCAGGGGAAGAGTCGGGAGCAACACCCTTGTCCTGGCCCTGTCCCCAACCTTGAGAGAATCATCTCTACTCCTGGGCTCTCTGTGTCCCACTCCAGCTCCTGTCCATCACCAAGGTGCACGGGACACAGGCAGCTCCTGGGCTGTCCTCGACTTCCCCTCACTATTCCATCTTCCTCCTCTTCTCCCATGGCCATCCCCTACACACACACACACACACACACACACACTGTAAAACCATGCACCTGGGTGGACTTGGAAGAGAACAGAAGAGAGTGGGTCCTCTGCAGCCACAACCCACACAAAGGACAGAGGGAAAAGAGCCACAGACTAGACCACGCCCACCCTGACCCACGTGTATGCGAATCCCACGAGGAAAGACCCTCTCGGGGTGCACCTCTACAGCCCCACGTCAGGGCTGTGGAAGGAGAAGCAGTCGCCATGCCCTGCCAAGGGCACCCTCTCCCTGTGCTTGCCTCGGGCTCCTCCCAAGCCACCCATCTGGGTTACCAGTGTCATGTAACACGCAAGGTCACAGAGGGCTGTCCCTCAGCTTTTGCCCATCAGCCAAGGACGTGGTTTAATGCCCAGTCACGAGCTGTCTCGGTGGCAGCTGCCATGTTTCCTAACACGCCTCAGAGAAGTACAGAAACGAGCCCTGTGCCTCCTGCCAGGGAACTCAGGGAAACTCCTTGCCTGCACAGCAGCCTCCACCATCCTGCCCTGACCCCTGGCCCCCATGAGCCACACAGCAGCTCCATGGCCCTCTCTGGGCCATCCTGCTTCACACCCCCAAAAGACACTGAGACCCACAGGAAGTGAACAACAAAATACAATCTTGCAATGCAGGCAACACAGCTAACCGTGCATGTGCAGGTGTGCGCACACGGGCCCGTGGGACGAGTGGGACATCACACGGGTGCAGATGGGGGACAGGCCCGGCACTCCAGCCTCACCCTCATGGACAAACACAACACAGGGGACACATTCTTACAAACACACAGCTCAGGTCTGGGCAGGCCCAGGCCTGTGCGTCTCTGCCTTGCCTCCCTCCCTCTCTCTCTCTAACGTTTGATTTTAACTTTGGTTGGCACCCATAACGATACATGTGTCTGGGGTATAGTGCGATGTTTACATACAGGTATAATGATCAAATCAGAGCAGTTAACATTTCCTGGGGGAAGAACAGTCAGAAGCTTCTCTTCTGTTTTGAAACACACACTACCTTCTAGCAGCCATAGTCCCCTGCTATGCAACGGACCAGGGCTTCCCCCTGTGTAAACACCCACACAGCCCAAAGCAATCACACACTCAGTGCATTCCCTCTCAGCATACCAGTGGCCCGGAATACCAACGACAACGAAACAGGGCTGAACTTCACAAGGAACCATGAGAGGCCACAAAGCAACTGCGAACAAACGTAGCAGAACTCGGAGGCATCACACGGCCTGACTCTAAAACACACCACAAAGCTCTCACAACCACAGCAGTGTGGTGCTGGCATGCAAGCAGATGCATGGATCAGTGGGAGAGAGTTAAGAACACAGAAATGAACGGTGCATTTACAGCCAGCTGATTTCTGGCATAAACGCCAAGAACACATATTGGAGAAAGGACAGCCTCTTCAATAAACGGTGCTGGGAAAACTAGGGCCAGTTGTGATGTAGCAAGTTAAGCTGATACCAGCATCCCATACCGGCACTTGTTCAAGTCCCGGCTGCTCCACTTCCGATCCAGCTCCCTGCTAATGGCCTGGGAAAAGCAGCAGCACGTGGCCCAGGTGCTTGAGCCTCTGACATCCACATGGGAGACCCAGATGGAGTTCTAGGTTCTTGGCTTCAGCCTGGCCCAGCCCCAACCATTGTGCCCATTCAGGCAGTGAATCAGTAGATCTAAGCTCTCTCCTTCTCTCTCTCTCTCTCTCTCTCTCTCTCTCTCTCTCTCTCTTTCTGTAACCCTGCCTTTCAAATAAAATAAACCTTTGTTTAAAAAACTAAAGTCACATGCAGAAGAATAAAGCTAGGCCTTCCCGCTATCATCTCTCACCCCTTCTCTCTTGGGGTGCACACACACACACACACACACACCCCAAGCTTCCATTTCCACAGCCTCCACTCGGCCCATGCCCCATTATGGGCCTTGCTCACAGACACTTCTCAGCATTCATCAAATGAATGGACGGTTGGGCATCATTAATTACGAAAGCATGAGCCCAGCCTAGAGACTGCTGTCCGTGGCATAACCACTGTGCTGCTCCAGCCCTCAAGTCCACACGTGCATGCCCAACAGGCACAGCAGAGACGGGGACCTGGGCAAGGAGATGGAAGGGGGCCAGAGGATGAGCAGTGGTGGTGGCCTCTCTCGGTTCCCCCTGCCCTGCCTCCAGCTGCCCGGTACCAGGCAGCATGGCCCTTCTGCTGAGACAGATGAGGGGGTGGCACTGAAGCCGGGCGGCCTGCTGCTTCCTCGGGGAAAATTCCTTGCATTTCTCCGCCTTCCATCCTTGACCCCAGCCCTGTGCACTGATGAAACCTCGGCTTCTCCTTCTCCCTGAGGCACTCGTGTTTGGCCAGCAGCGGGGAGAGAAGGCAGCAGAACCCAACTCCAGCATAGGCTGAATGCCTTCCACCGCAAAGAGGCCCATGTCCAACCTCTGGCCATCTGGACCCCATGGCGAATGGGGGCAGGCGTGAAGGTCAAGGTTAACACCTAGGAGAGTCTATCAAGTAATCAAAGGCCACCGAGTTGGCTCTTGAGTGGCTTCCTCCCGGCTCGCACCGCCCAGCAGAGCAGCTGTGAGCCTCATGTGGGTCCCAAGCATGTAGTGTAGCCAACCTGAACTGACGTGAGCAAAATACACACATTTCATGACCAAAAAACCCACAAAATACCTCACTTTTATACTGATTACATGATGAAATAATACTTTCTAGGAAAATACATTAATTTCATCAGTCCCTTTTCATATTTTTTTGTTTTGTTTTTGACAGGAAGAATTAGACAGTGAGAGAGAGAGAGAGACAGAGAAAGGTCTTCCTTTTCCGTTGGTTCACCCCCAAAATGGCCGCCACGGCTGGCGCGCTGCAGCCAGTGCGCTGTGCCGATCCAAAGCCAGGAGCCAGGTGCTTCCTTCTGGTTTCCCATGCGGGTGCAGGGCCCAAGCACCTGGGCCACCCTCCACTGCACTCCTGGGCCACAGCAGAGAGCTGGACTGGAAGAGGAGCAACCGGGACAGAAGCCGGCGCCCCAACCAGGACTAGAATCCAGGGTGCCGGCACCGCAGGCGGAGGATTAGCCTAGTGAGCACATCTCTTTAATTTAATTTAAAATAATCTAATGTAAATCAATTTAATTAACTTAATCTAAATTGATTTGATTAACTTAATTTGAATTTGATTAAAATTAATTTAAATTTTAAATTAAAATTTTTTTTCACATTTTTTAAAAAGTTGTAAAATAGATTGGGTCAGTACTGTGGTTTAGTAGTCTAAGCCTCCACCTGCAGTGCTGGCATCCCATATGGGCACCAGTTTGAGTCCCCGCTGCTCCATTTCTGATCCAGCTCTCTGCTATGGCCTGGGAAAGCAGTGGAAGATGGCCCAAGTCCTTGGGCCCCTGCACCCACATGGGAGACCCAGAAGAAGCTCCTGGTTCATGGCTTCGGCCTGGCCCAGCCTGGCTGTTGTGGCCATCTGGGGGCTGAACCAGCGGATGGAAGATCTCTCTCTTTCTTCCTCTCTTTCTCTGTAACTCTGACTTTCAAATAAATAAATAAATCTTTTTTAAAAATACATTACTTAAATAAACATCTCCCATGTCCTGTCGTGCTTTTTAGCACGGCTACTTGTGAAGTTGAAATGACAGCGCTGCTCCTGTCCCTTTCCACCGGGCACTGCCATTCTATGGACTGTCCATGGTATCCCGAGGCCACCGATCGGTTACAACAGCAGCCCCCCACGCACCCACGATGGCCACTGTTACAAGCCCTGCTGGTCCCCGGGCCAGGCCGTCTCATTCCTCCTGTGCCCCCCCGGGATGTACAGCCAGCTCCATCATCACTGGGGCAAATGGACAGCTCAGGCCCCGCCCAGCCAACCCCAGCATCCCCAGTCTCCTCTTCCTCTGCTGTCCGGGCCCCTACCTGGGACCCTGTGTCCCTCGTGGCTTGGTGTGTCTTCATCACCGCATTCCCCCACAACTACCTCCTCCTGGCTTTTCTGCTATAAAAGGGGACACGGCCTCCACTTCGGGACATTGGGGTATTTTTTGAGTGGACATGTCTCCTACCCATTGGGGACTGGCCTCTCGGGTGAGTGCATGGGGGCTGCAGATTAAAAACTCTGCCTGGGAGGCCAAGGATGCATGACAGGGGGGTTCTGCCAGCCTAAGGGTCCCGGGCCTTTCTTTCCTTGGTGGGAGCTAAATGGGACACCTGAAATGGAAGAGAGTGCCTGGATGCAGACAAGAAAGGGGCTCCCAAACAAAGTCAAGGTCAAGGGATGGGGCATCTTTGGGGTTAGAAATCAACAGTCTGAACAAGCAGGAAAACTCCATGGGAACCTTTGTCAGTTGGCCTGCATCCTAAGACCCATAGATGTGTGAGCCTGGCCCAGGAGCAGTGCAAGAGAAGTGGGGTGGAAGGGAAGGTTAATGACGCATGAAGAGGAGAAAGCTCCCAACCTCTCCAGCCCACCCCCAAATCTAGGGCACTCACATGGGCCAGGGTGGAGATGAGAGGCAAGAGAGGATGGGGGAAGCCAAGCTTAGCAGGTGCTCTTACCCCCGCTGGGCGGTGTGCTGGTCGGGGACGATGCCTCCAGCTCCTCGAAGGCCTCCTTGTAGCTGTGCAGGTGGGGCTGTAGGAGAACAGGGGGCAGCAGGGTGGGGGAGCCTGAGATGCAGGGGTCTCTGCTTCCCATGCCCAGGGCCTGAGGACAGTAAGGTACGACCCCTGGCCGATGGCTCCCTGCTGTTCTCACAGGGCAGCGGCCGCAGGAAGAGCCCCAACAACTCCCTGTAGCTGAGAGAGTTAGGAATGGCTAGCAGCAGGGCCGTGGTCAAGTCCAGGCAGAGCTTGGGAGCACCTGCCTTGGAAATATTTCACTCCAGAGCCAAAGAGAAGAGACTGGGTCTTGCCAGAAGGTAGGAGAGAAAAGTTGGCCACAGCGGCCAGATTCCTGGGACTTTAAGCCAATGCAATACCTCCTTCCAGGTGGCCTCTGGGCCACCTGCAGCAGAATCTCCCAGGGTGAGCTTTTAAATGCAGATTCCTGGGAGCCACCCCAAGGATTCCCGAGTCACAGGCACTGGGCGTGGGAATCTACAAGTCTGACAAACTCCCCAGGGATTGTCATGCATGCCAAAGTTAGGGACCCTCTGCCTCCAACTACTGAAATGTCTCAGAAATATAAGCATTCCGGAAAGAAAAGTAAAACTCCTAAGAAATCCCCCTTATCCAGAAAGGGCTCAAAACCCTTTTGTCGGTCTATAGGACCTGGTTTGGGGTCTAGAGATCGTGCCCATCTACGACATCCCGAGGATCCTCACCATCCTACTAAGGGAGCCTCTCGAGGAATCAAGGGAATTTCAACTTCAGTATTAATGTAAGAAATGCGGGAGGGGCCATAAAAGTTATTTAAGGAAGAGAAGGGGTCCAAATTCCACACCCAGGAAAGACCATGGGTGGCGATGCAGGGAGGGAAGAACTCCTATATTTATTGATAGTGCCAAGTTGAAGGTCAAGTTCCTGGAGACAGAAGGAGGGCTCCACGGCCCTCTGGGGCCCCAGGCTGCAGCTCCAGGACTCACCTCCTTGGGCCGCCCTCCAGGATTGAGAGCGATAGTAAGAGCCAGCTCGGGGGAGACACACTGGACGGGGGAGCGCACCCCGGGGCTCCGGGGGGATGTGGCTTCTGGAGACTGGTTCTCGTACTGTCCATCGCTGGCTGCCCGCCTCCGGAGCGGGGCAATGGGTTCTGCAGGCTGCTTCTCCCGAGCCTGCACGCCTGGGAGGAACGGCAGATCGTGCGGGAAACCATCAGCATGAGCCCCCCAGAGAAGGCAGCAGCTCTCAACGCCTCCTCCCTTGCCCTCCTGGGCCCAACTCTGCTCACACTCGGGGCTCCCTCTGCAGGGCAGGGATCTGCTCAGACCCGACAAGAATCCCTACTGCACGCAGGGCTGGGGCCCAGAGCACAAAGGCCTGACACAAGAAACAGATGTCAGCTCCTTCCAGCCCTTAGAGGCAGAGGCCCGAGCTTCCAGACAAGGGAGGGAAGCTGGAGGGGAGAGCGCGTCTCCAAGGCAACTGCATCAACCAACAGCAACACCAAGCCCCGGGGAAGAACTTTTGGAAAGAGCTGAATTGCATCATTTTGCAAATGGTGTGTCCAGGAAGAAACAAAGAAATGACTCAGCCTTGTCTTGGGGGTCTCTGGGGTCCTCTGGCTTCCCCTCGGGTTCCCGGGCCTTTCCCCCAGAGCATTCTGAGACCTCTTGCCAGCCTGCCTCATCCCAGGACCCTTTGCCTCTCCTCCCATTGCATCACCACTACCACCAAAGACGGTCAAGGGTCCTGCCTGCTCCCCCCACCCCCCCGACTGAAGGGCAGGCAGAGGGGAGTCAAGAGCTCCATCTGCTTTTCTGCACTTCCCCTCCCACAGGCCAGGGGTGTGAACCTCACCCTGCTTCCTGCCCACTCCCTCTTCCCACAGCTGGGCTGGGCACGGAATCCATTGCCTCATTGAGCTGCCTTCCAGAATCCCAGAAAACACACATTTCCTGGGTCCCCAGGGCCAAGACCCAGCCCAAACGCTGGGCTCCCAGCCCCAACAATCTTCTAGCGGAAAGACTTTCAACTTTCCTGCCTTCACTCCCACCAGGACTTACCGAAGGTCTCAGGCCACAAGGGGCTGTGCCCCTGAACACATACCCCATTGCTCACGCGTGAGCATGCGCACGCGCACACCCACACACACACCGTCAGTCCCCCACTTGTGCCAGTTCAGCCAAGTAAAATTCACCCTCAGCCCAGTGACTCATCCTCCACCGTCCACAGCTACCACAAATGGTGCCCGTCACGAAGGCTCTGTGCCTGTCACAAGCAACAGGCTTCCCGCAGCCCAGACTAAGGGTGGACACACACACAGGCTCTCAGAGACACGGCCTTATACCTGCCCGGCTGCCCACCTGGCACAGCGCTGCACAACCAAGTGAACCCTGGGTGGGCACACACCTCACTGCCACCCATAAACCACTCTGCTTTCAGCCACCAGGCCCTCAGCCGCCAAGGGCCCTGCTTGCCACCATAGCAGAGGGGAGGAAGGAGGCTGTGGCTTTGAAAGGGCGGAGCAAGGCAACCCCCTGCAACCCCACAGCAGCCCCTGGCTCCCCTGCACCACTCAGGCCTCCTGGGCAGCTTGGAGCAGAGCCGCTGTGGTTTTGTTCTTTGCAAAAATCTCAGAGAAAAACAGACGTAGCCACTGATTTTCTAAGAATATCATGACAAAGGAGGTCTACAGGGGAGAGGCTGTCGAGGTCTGGCATTGAGTTCAGCCCCAAGGTCAAAGAAATGCAGCAGGGCGGGTCTCGGATCCGGGCTCACCCGCCTGGCAGCTTCCGGCTGGCAGATCCTGTTGCCTTTTCAAGGGCTGGCATGCTCCCTGTTGGGGGTCTGCCATTTGCACTGGAGACCTGGGTTTGCTTCCCTGGGAGCCTGGAGTCACCCCCTGCAACCTGCTCAGAGCAGCCTCTATGTCAAAGAGGTCCCAGGCGGTTACAGCAGCCCAGGAGTCAGGGCTGCCCACAGGCACGGCTCGCTCACATTAGAGGACTCGAGACTGGACCCACGGCGGTCATCTACCTGCCTCCCGATCCCCAGCACACAGGTGCACAGTGGTGTGCTGACCAGAAACAGGGGAGTGACTGCCACAGAGCTAGGGGGCCGCAGGGTACAGCCTCCCTCTGCCAGAGAGGAAAGACCCCCACATTCCACTCCCACAGGGCCAGCCCCTCCCCTGTGGAGCACCCCATGGCACCAGCGGCCAGTCAGGGCCACTCACATTCTTCTAACACAGTGTCCCACTGTTGTCGCCCTTGGCAGGCCCAGAGCAGCCCCCAAGTGCCTGGATAGCCATGTTCCCGCTCTCTGTGTCTCTCCATAGGCGGGAAGAGGGGCACAGCAGAGGGCAGAGAAGAGAGCCCCATTGTTCCCCTGCCAAGTGGGGACGTCTGGACACAAGCAGCCAGCCAGCGCCAGACAGAGGACAGCCTCTCTCTCATCCCAGATGCCAGCCACGATAGAACCAGGCCTACCCCTCCACCCCGGACTAGGTCTCCTCTCTGTGACTCCTACACACACACACACACACACGTGCACATGCACACGGGCAGAGGCAGGTGCGCACTCTCTCCTCTCACATGCACACACACACACACACACATGCACAGCCTGGACCCCACAGGAACGGCTGCAGGGCCCTGGGACAGCTGCTGGGGTATTCAGTGGGGCCACAGTGAGCCCCTGCCTTCCTCAGCAGGACACATGTGGCCAGAGGAAGCCAATGGAGACAGACAGGAAGTGGGCAAGGGTGCTCCAAGCCACCCTCCCATCCAGGCAGAGTGAGGAGACTGAGAAGGAGTGGGGCACTGTGGCAAGAAGAGGCCTTTCAGGCCACACACACATATATGTGTGCAAACATATGCACGCACACATGCACACCGGCCATTCTGGGAGCTGTAGCCCTAACACACAAAACTCTTTGGCACAGCCCTGCTGCTCCCCACCCCCAGGTCACATGAACAAAGCTCCTGGGGTCAGGCTGCAGCATAGGCCTCCCCAAAACCCCCAAACTGGCCACCTCCACGCCCACAGACCCAGCTCTTCTTTCCAGCCTTCCGATTTCCAAAAGCCTGGGTTCCTCAGCTCCAGGTGGCCAGGCTGGGTGTCCAACTGCACGCCTGGGGCTCCGGCAGCGAGGGCATCCGGGTGGAAGGCCACCTGCTGGGCCAGGGCACCAGAAAGCCACACGGCGGCAACCACACCAGCAGCCCTAGGGCAAGCCATGCCAGCTCCCTCGGGGCAGGCCCACGACCCCAAAACCTGCCCAAATCCCCAGGGCCGGCTGGCCACTGCACTCCCCACCACTGGGCCGAGGACAGGGCAGGAGGCAAGAGAGGAGGAGGAGAGGAGCAGTCTGCTAGAGCCATCTCCCCACCAGCCATGGACTGGGAGAAGGTGGTCCCTGGGTTCTAGGAGTTGCCTTCGGGAATCCACAGTTCCCACCACTCCTGAGCCTTTTTCCCAGTGCTGCTCATGGCCATGGCACCATCTTCGCCCTGCCCCTGGCCTCCAGGCTCAGAAGAGCAGGGGGAGGCAAAAAAAGTCCACAGGCTCACATGTCCACGAGGCTAGGGATGGATGACAGAGGACTGCTCCATCCACAGCTCAAGTACATGACCATAGCTAAAGGGCCCAGCATGTCTGGGGATGGCCAATGCACCGGGCAGACACACAAGGCAGGGCCGCCACCTCTCATTTCACAAACTGGGAAATCGAGCTCCGAGGAGTTAAGACTAGCTCAAGTCACAGAAGCAGTCACAGGCAGGGCCAGGACCAACACCAGAGCTTCTGCCTCTCAGCCGCGGGTGCTCAGATGAGATGGGGCCGGGGCCGGGGCCGGGGCCGGGGCCGGGGCCGGGGCCGGAGGCGGCACTCCGTTCCCAGGGTGTGCCCAGGAACCAGCCCAACAGCAGGTGATGGGGGAGCCGCTGTCTGTCTCATGCCCAGGCTCCTGTTGAGACCTGGCTCTGCAGCTGGGTGGCCTGGTCAGTGGCCAGAGGGCTGGACTCCCCAGAGCCCTCACTGAGACCCTCATAGCCATGGCCTGCCTCTCCATGGGGGGCCCTGGAAGTTGTGCCAGACCCTGTTCCCAGCAGGCAAGGCCAAGGCTAGAAGCATCAGGCCTGTGTTCATGCAGAAAGGAGAGCGAGAGGAGGGGAGGCAGTGAGACGGCCAGCGTGAGTGCAGAGAGAGGAGGGGGCGGTCAGAAAAGCAGGAGAGGGGGGTGGGAAAGAAGCAGCAAGGGGGAAAGGGGAGAGAGGAGGCAGGCAGGGCAGGCAAGGGGATGGCAGGAAAGAGGAACTGGGAGCTATGGGGAGGCCCAAGGAAGGATGGGTCGGGAGAGGAACCCACCAGTGAGGGAGGCAGATCGGAGCCGGTGAAGAGGAGGGGGCCGGAAGCTGCCACTCTGCCCCATGCCCTGCAGCCTGGCGTTGTATGCTGCCCACCCCCACCCCCACCCCAGGGGAGCCGGCAGGGAGGAGACAGCAGGTGGGAGGGGCAGCACCCCACCAATGGCACAGGGGACAGGCAGACACGGGACACACGGAGGACACATGGCACGAGGCATTCAACAGGACGAAACAAAACAAAAACAAAGAAAAAAAAATCACGGTTAGTCGGTGCTCCGGATCTGGGGTTTGGTCGCACACGGGCGGGAGATGGGAGGGTCTCTGACAGGAAGAGAGAGTGGGTCCAGGGTCTCACTTCTCCAAATGGCAGGCGGACGGGGAGCAGGGGTCCGCTGCCACCTCTTCTCTAAGCACCAAGAGGAGGAATACGGCGCTGCTCTGGGACCCAGAGGCCTAGTCCTGTGAACCCCACACCTGCTCCTCCGCTAGGGCACTTGCCGCATCTGATCCGGTGGGGGCCCTGCCAGTCCCAAAAGTCACACCCCGACCCTCAAGCATCTCTCAGGCCTTTGCTGTTTGGTCACGGCCACCTGGGCCATCCTCTTGCCAGGGCTCCCCTCCCCCTTCGCTGCCCTGCCCAGAGCTCCTGGGCACCACCAGAAAAGTCTTTAGAATGGAGCTGCATGGACGCACTCGGGGCACCTGCCATGCCGTCCTTCCCCTCACTCTTGCTGATGCCTCCCAGCCCCCGCCTTCACCCCCAAGGGCCACAGGCGTGGCCAACACTCACCCTGTCCTGACTCCTCACCCAACATCACCCAGGGCCATGCTTTGCGTGGCTTCTGTGGGCTGACAGCTCCCTCGTGTCTGAGTCCAGCCTCTCTCCTGAGACCCCCAGCACATGTGTCCAGCTTCTCCACCATTGCGTGGCCATCGCAAACCCAACCCATCCACGATCACACTTCGTGGCTCCCCAAAGCCTCCTCTTCCCAGATCCTTAAGCACCTTAAGGTGGCTGGAAACCCGAAAGGCATCCCTGGCTTCTCTCCTCTCTCACCTTCATGTCTGGTTGGTTCCACCTCCCAAATTTCTAAGCGCACTCTGAGCACTGCTCCCATCTCCGCGGCTGCCACCTGACCGCTAACAGTGGCCTCCTCCCCGGTCTCCCTCCTCCCACCCTGGCTGCTCCGATCCTTTTAAAACAAATCAGATGATGTCACTCATCAGCCTAAATCTTTCTTAAGGCTTCTTGCACCACACAAAACAACAGCCAAAGTTCTTAGGACCACCTACAGAACCTTCTGCAAGCTGGCACCCATTTCTGCTACCTTGCTGACGCCGTGCCCCACTATACTCCCCTCACACACTCTGCTCTAGTCATACCAGACACACCCCTGCCCCAGGACCTTTGCACTGGCTGCTCCCGATGATGCCTTCCCTCTCCACTCAGTGAAGCCATCCCCTCCCCCCACACTTCACAGCCTGTCCTCTTCGGCCTCATCGCCCACCTGACACACTGCACAGGCGTGTGCTTACTGGTGTAGTGTCCATCTCTGCCATGAGGGCAAGGATGCAAGGATTTTCACCTGTCTTACCACCATTCTCCCAGAGCTCACACTAGCAAGTAGCCCAGATGGGAAGTGCGTGTTGAATGAATGAGTGAACTCGCCTTGAGCTCACCTCCTATTTCTATAATGAAATGCAAAAAAAAAAAAAAAAAAAAAGTCTCAAAGCTTGACACCAGTATTTACCCACATCTTTACCCATCATCCTTCATTCTTATTTCGGGAAGAGGAAGCTCACCTCCTGCTTGAGCCGAAAAGGTGCCCCTGGGCTCTAAGCCTATCTCTAACCTCCTGGGGGACCCTGTCCTATCAATCTCTTTCTCTCTCTCTCTCTCTCCTTCCTCCCCTTCCATTAATCTTCTCCCTCTCCCTCTCCTGTACCTAAAACCACCCTGGTGGCTCGGATCCTTACAGAAAGTTCCCGACCTCTTCCTGCCCTCTTCAGCTGCCCGTCCTCTTATCACATAAGCCCTCGCCAGAGCCGCCAGGCTCCTCACTGCTTCTCACCTGCCCTCAGCCCCTCCCCATCCGGTTCGTGTCACCAGCACACTACTGAAATTGCACCTCTGAAGACCACAGGGCCACCTCGCCGGCCAGCCCAGTGACCCTCTCAGACCCCACCTCACTATCTCTCCACCCTGACCCTGCTCGCCTCCAGGACCCTGGACACCTCCCAGGACCCCGGACTGTGCTGGCTTCTGTGATGGCACAGTCACCACCCTGACACTACTCACCTCCCAGGACCCCGGACTGTGCTGGCCTCTGTGATGGCACAGTCACCACCCTGACCACTCACTCCCAGTCCCCTCACTCTCAGCCTCCACTTCCACTCGTGGTCATTCCATCCTGTGTTCTCATCTCCTCCATGCCCAGAGCTTTAACCTTCACCTGTGCCAATGACCGCCCACTCCACGGTGTGTCTCACTCCTTCAGTTCCAGTTCCAGGGGCTCACCTGCCTTGCACACATCTCTCCAGCTGGAGCTGCACTGCAATGTCAGGTGCAACTTAGCCAGCACTGCGCTCCACCTTCTACCACATGGGGTACTCCCAAGGAACCACTGCTTTGCTCCTATCCATGGAGCCAGCCCCAGAGCACATTCAAGGTCTCCCTCTCCTTCACCTACTACGCCCTGCAATTTCTCAGTGCATTGGTTCTACTCCCATTTCTTCTTCTTCACTCCCACGGACAGCTCCTGAATTTGGTCCCCCTCAGCAAGGCTACCTATCAAGCTCCTAGCATCTCCCAGCCCAGTACCTCTCCTGTCTTGCAACCTTCCAGCTCAGACCCACCTAATCCTGCAGCTCTGGGCAGGGCGCATTGCCCTGACCAAAACACACGGCTGCCGGCTAGAACTCAGCCTCTGTCCTTGGTATCTAAGACCGTGCAGAGACAGATCCCGTGCTACCTTTTCTGAGTCTCCCTCTCACAGCCTCCATGATATCCTTAATCCACTCACTGCTCTTCACCCAACCACCCGCCAAGGCTGGGCTTCCAACCACACTCCAGCCTCTCCAGCTGATGGCAATCAACCCACTTCTCACCCAGAACTCTCTCCATGCCTCTCAGATTACAAATGACTTCATTGCAAAGCTCTCATTCTTTCTCCCCCTACTGAACTTTAGACTCCTTAAGGATAAGATCCGTATCTGATTTCCAACAAGCACTGGAGTCTCCACCTCTGAAGTCACCCAAGATCAGCGCAGTCACAGAAGCAGGAACACGAGATAACTCATTTGGACTGTGCGGCTGACTCCTATTTCCTTTTCTTGTCTTATTACACTGGCGAGGACTTCCAACTCAATGCTACATGATAGTGGTGATAACAGGCGTCCTTATTTTGTCCCTGCACAAGAAAGGGTGACATCTGCTAGAGGTTTCTGGTGCCTATCCTTCATCAAGTTAAGAAAACTGCCCTCCCTACCTTCTCTGAAGTCTAATCAAATGAGACATGAAGGATGGTTGCGTGGAAGTGGAATGAACCAGGGACATGGGACTGAGGGACAGAGACTAGCCAAGGAGCCAAAGGCACACACAAAGGAGGAACGTCAGGAGACAGAGGTCCTCCTGCAGACCTGGGCCTCCCGAGTTACTCATCTCAACAGCTTGTCTTGCAGCAGCTTCCTGAGGCAGAAAGTAGGATGAGCAGAAAGAGGTGGAACTAGAAGTCAGCCTCCCTGGCTCCCAAGCTGATCTACCTACTGCTCCCGCCCGAGTGCGTCTATATAAGGACCTGGAGGGTGCTATGCAAACAAGACTGCTAACATCACAGAGTCTGCTCACAACGTGCATGGACCCCGAGGGCGAGCTCACAGCCGTGGGAACCAAATCGTACTGCCCACCCCCCTCCCCTGCAAGATCTCACTCCTTCTCCTGACTGCAGGATGAGATGTTAACAGGGTAAGAGAACGGGGACACTATGCCCACAATACCCTCCCCTTCCTGGGAGGCTACAGGATGGATGCTGATGATCAAGACCTCAGTGGCTGGTAGCTAAGAAAAGGCTGAGGGGAGATCCACTACAAGGCGGGCAGTCCCCCGGGTCCACGGGGCTGTGGCTTCCTCCTGCGCCGGCTCCACAGAGCTACATGGAAGGGGTCCCATAGGGTGAGGGATTTCCTCTGCTCCTTGCAGACAAGAGGATTCCCTGAACCCTGCCCCGTGCCAGGCTACAGCACCATTGTCCTCTGGTCCTCCGTCCCCACTTAGTAAAACACTGGGAGGAGAGTTAGATTCCCAGGAATTCAGGTAGCTGCAGCCCCTCCCCTGGACAAAACCTAGAGGGAGATGGGCTGTGCTGCTGCAGCAACCAGTGAGTGTCATGTCCTCAGCTCGGCCCCTACCTCCACTCTCCACCTCTCCCCCTGCCCCACCCCAGTCTGCTTCCCTCTCCCCCCTGCCGTGGTCAGTGTTGGAGGAAGCACAGCAGTGACTGCCAATTGCCCTGGTGCAAACATTCCTACTGCCACCTGCAAGCCACCAACGGTGGGAGGGCAGGCTGGGCCCGCTCTGGAGTCCAGCAGCAGGGCACCCATGCCCCACACCCAGCTGGCCTGCCCCGAGCTGCTTCCCCAAGCCCACGGCCCCTCCCTGCCTGCAGCTGGCACGGTGACTCAGCTTCTCTTATATTTAGGAAAAGGGCGGAGGGCACAGCCAGCTGTCCAGGCTCCCCCTGTCCCCCCGCGGAGCTCTCAGCACCCCGTCAGCAGAGGGGCTGGGCACAGGGCCTTCCTGGCTGCACAGTCTCTCCCCCACTGCCCCACCCCGGCTTCTCCACAACAAACTGCACACACAGCCTTGCACACCCAGCGTGGCTGAGGCATGGGGCAGGAAGGGAGGGAGCGCCACAGCTGTCAGCCCCAGCTCGGACCTGGTCAGGCTGCCTCCGCTCCCATGATGGGTCCACTGCCTCTCCTCGCAGCAGAAAGATGGGCTCATGCTCTGCTGGGCTGAGCGCTTCACCACCTCCAGGAAGCCTACCCTGACTGCCCTAGGTGGTATGCTATGCTTTCCCACAATCTGTTAGACTTATCTGTCTGTGGACCTGTCCCCAGTACCAGACAGTACACTCCTTAAGGGAGGGCCTGACAGACACCAGTGTCAGAATCTCAGTGCCGGGCTTGATGCCCACCACACAGTGAAGGCAGGAAGGGGTGGCAGGGTGCATGCTTCGAAGAGCCCCTTCCCCAAGCCAAGGCAGCGCCTGCCGTGGGGGTCCCTGCTGAGTTTGTGCTTCTCCCCAGAAAGACCAACCAAGACCAAGAAGGGAGGGGAGGAGGGGGCTCAGGAGGGGCGACTGGGGACTGCTGGCCCAAGACTCTTACCTGCCACCCGGTGGGCCACCAGCCCGCCCAGGTTCAGCGGCTCCTCCTCTGGTGTTCGCGAGGGGTCTGCAGGGGCTTCCTTTGGCGGGAGCTGAGCCTGACCAGTGAGGCCAGGGAGAGAGACCGGGGGCTGCTGAGGTCTGGAGACGCCACCGGCGTTTGGAAGGAAGGCAGACGAGGAGGAGGAGGAGGAGGCTGGACTCTTTGGACGGAAACCCTGGCCAGGTCCAGCCGCATACGGCTGATAATCATAAGGGGAGTGAGACCTTCCAGGGGGCACAGGCTCCAGCGAGGCCTGGGCGAGGGGCTCGGGGCTTCCTAGGGAACGCCCACTCGGGATGTAGCCAGACCTGGACTGGGTGAGCGGGTGGGACTGGCGGGAGGAGAGTGGAGAAGCCCCCGGCCAGGCCCCAGGGACGCTCTGGGACTTGTGCAGGGGGGCGGCGGCAGAGGCCGGCTCGAGGTCCAACATGAGCATGTTGAGTGCTTCGATGGACTGCTCGATCTCCCGCTGGGAAGCCGCCCTTGGGAACTCAGGGATGCTGGGGGCGGAGGTCTCCGCTGGCGGCTGGGGGCTGGGCCTGCTGGCCACGAGGCCGTCCTGCTGGCGAGCAGGTGGGCGAGGCTGCTGCTGCTGCTGCTGCTGCTGCTGCTGCTGCTGCTGCTGCCATGAATTCAGACCCCTCTGCACGGCCTCCCGGCTGCTGCCCCCACGGGCTGGAGCTGGGGGAAGCTGGGGCTCAGCTTCCGGAAAGGACTGAGAGCGGAACACACTGCTAGGGTCGTGGCCGTAGTGGGACGTGGTCACCGGCTGTGACCAGGCTGGGTGGGGGCCGTCCCGCTGGAAGCCGGCGAACCCCTCCTGGGCGGAGTAGGAGGGCCGCACGGGGGCCGCATGGCCAGCAGGGGCAGGCGCCACCCGACTGGCAGACTCATACGGGTAGCCTCCGCCATTGACCACGGGTTCCCCAGGGTAGGGCTTGTCCAGGCCATTGGTCAGGGGCGTCAGGGCCTCCGGGTAGCCCCCCTCACTGGTGTTGGTGACCCCATCCAGGGAGGAGAGTGTGCCCATGCTGCCCACGCTGTGCCCGTCCTGGTTGGGCAGCTCATCGTCCAGGATGTCCGTCTCCCGCTCAGAGGCCAGGGCCCCACCGTTGACATGGACCTGGGCCGGGACCACGTGGCGGCCAGCAGCGGGGGCGGCCGGACCCCCGGCCGGGCGGGACCGGAGCTGCTGGATGTGGTACATGACGCCTGGCTTCTCTCGCTCCAAGCCGAAGCCACTGAGCAGACGATCGAGCTCCCGTTTCTCCTGGGGACTCAGGGTCGCGGGCGCGCCGGGGGCCCCGGGCGCAGGCCCAGGCTCATCGGTCTTGTCGGTCTTGGTGGAGGCTGTGGAGTTGCCGGAGTCGCTGCTCACAGACAGTGTGTGCTCCACGTGGTTGGGGGTGGCCGACAGGACGGGGCGTGTGGCATTGATGGCCCCGGTGCTGCCGTGCAGGGAGTCCTTTTTCTTCACCTTGGCATACAGGCTCCCGTCCAGCGGCCCTTGCATGTGTCCCACCACCTCTGCAGGGAGACGGCGGAGGGGAGACACAGACAGCAAAGGTCAGCGCAAGGCCAAGACTCAGCGAGGGCCCCACTCCCCACCGATGACCACCTCTTTTCCTGCTCCTAGGGTGGGGCCTCTCCCTCAGGCCCAGGGGTAGAGCCCTCACCAGCACCAGGCTCCAGGACCTGAGACTGAGCAAGGACAGGGTTCTAGGGACAAACTGCCCCAGTTCCAAGCCCAGCAGTGTCATAGGGTGCTGGGCACAGAGCAGTGCATTCCTCTCGGGGTCTCAGTTTTCGCACCTGTGCAATGGGGCTAATAATGGAATCAGGCTGAGCCCTCGGTACTCAAGGAACACAAACTTCAAATTGAGATGAGCTGATGACCGTCGTGTGCCGAGATCACTACCGAGGGAAAGGTCAACAGCTGGGAGCCCTAACCCTGACCTCCTCGGTGACATTCATTCCCGAGTGACGGTACCCACGGCATTACCGGACTTCCCTCCCGGGTGAGAGGCGGGAGAGGTAGGCGTCACCTTGAGTGCCCATGGAGGCATGAGTGTGGAGACCCGGAGCTTCCCGGAGCACAGGGAAGCAGGAGCACAGGAAGGGACCCCCCTCCGGCCAAGGTGAGGGGTGCAGATAAGGAGACTTAAGACGGGTCTAGGACTTGAGCCTCTACAGCTGCATTCTGGCTCAGCATCATGAATTTTCTAGAAACATCCAAACAATGCCATTCATCCCACCCACTACCGCATTTCCAGAGGTCTCTCCTAGTTCCTCCCCTAGCACTGCCCACTCCTCATGGACCCCTACCCAGCACCAGGGAGCCCCACCCACACCACACCCCAAGAGGGGAGCAGGACCGCCAGATGAGTGGCCAGATCCCCACAGTACCCCAAGTGCAGCCCCCTGTGCCAGAGGGGCTCTCTTTCCCTCTGCATGAGGGAGACCAGGTGGGGCACTGGGTCAGAGCTCAGGACCCAGGAGGTGGGGCCAGCACAGGGGCAGAGGTTCTCATCAAGGAGGGGGTTGTTTGTCTGCAGGCCCTCCAGGGACCCCCGGGGGGCTCGGCTTTCTCTGAGAGGAAAAAGTGAGCGCTGGGTGGCTGGGAGCCAAAGGGCTGACTCAGGAATGAAGAACTTGCCCCGCCTGGCAAAGCGCTGTGACTCCACAGCCCATACAGTCAGCAGCCCGGCCTCAGGCCCCAGCACCACGAGAACACACGCACGCACACCCAAAAGCCCCGCCCCGCCCCGCGCTCCAGTCCAGGCCTCTGGTTGGCAAGGGGAGAAATCCCCTCCCGAGGCAGCTGCAGCTCCAGCCCAGACCCCAGCAGCCACACACAGCCAGACACAAAGACGGCCGAGGCTCACACGCCAATCGGAAGTCCCCCACATCAGAAACGCCCAGACACATGCCCTCGCAAGGTGCCATACAACACCCAGAACGGGAGTGCAGTGCAGACATGGGGACCTCCACAGCCGCAGCCACACAGGAGGCCTACGCCTGGCAGCCAGGCGGTTCTGTGCCTGTTATACAGATGGATACACTGAGGCTGAGAGGCCAGCAAGTGCATCTACAAACACATGCCCCTGATGCAGCCAGGATTTGAGATCAAAACTAATTCCCTTCAAAGACCATGTAGTTGTTCTTATGTAACTCATCACACACACAGAGAGAGACTAGAATAAGCACATCAAAGACTGGAACACCTCAAAATAAATACTGAGATTGAAAGCCACAGACATTTCAGAAAATATAAATGGGCAACCATGCCCAAGGCTGAGCCCTTAGGCCAGAAGTGGCAGCCTCTAAAAATAAACACTCCAACAGAAGCCCGTGGCCAACAGCAAGCCATCAGATGACCACAACACAGGAACATGCTGATCCACACACACACCCCACAGGCTGCCCAAGCGATGTCACCCTCGAGCGGGCACAGCGGCGTCCCCTACACCCCCAGGGGCTGATGCTCTGAATTCCCCAGAACCACTCTCTGCCCCAGGTTTCCCTGAGGCTTTGGAACCTCAGCCAGCAGCTGCCCTCAGTGCCCGGGGCCGGAGAGCTACAGTGGTTCACAGGTCAGGGGCTGGTCAGGACTGGACAGGCCTCTGGCTGAGACATGTTCTGAATCCCCCCTGCCCCTGTGCCTGGGCCCCTCATGGTTGCTGAGATGCAGGCCCAGGCCCGGCCTCCTCTTCTGGTCCCCTGTCATCATTTCCATAGGGGTCCAAGCCACAGGATGGGGCTATGTCCTGCATACCATGGCTTTCCAAAGACCTGGGCCACAGCTACGCTGGCTGCTTCCAGAGGGGAAGGTACCAAAGACAGCACCTGTCCTCATCCACTGAGACACCTCTGGGGCTGGGTCTCTGAAGGACCCAGGCCCACAAACCAGAGGACAGGAACTGAAGAGCTGGCTCTCCTCCTCTCTGGGCCTACGAAGCTGAAGGCCTAGACCCAGGCCCACTGTGCAGTCTGCAAGGTCTCTCCTGGACCAGGGGGCCCCTTGATCCCCCGCATCTCCCAGTCCACACGCACGTGAGGTGGGAAGACTGCCCTGCGGTGTCCAACGGCTGCCCCACTCACATCGAGATGCAGACACGAGAGCCACCAGGCGCCACCCCACTGGGAAGCACGCAGGTCCACTCCAGCATCTCACCGGAGTTCCACGAGAAGGGGACTCAGGGAGAGCTCAGGAAGAGGCCCCAGGCAGGAGGCAGGACTCCCACTCAGGACCGCACCTGACAGCTGGGCCTCAGTCTTCACCCATTCTGGTAGCAAGCTCCCTGTGCGTGTCAACTATCCCAGAGGTGACGACAGCTAGAGCTTCTGCGGCTTAGGGGGAGAACGGAGGGGGTGGAAACTGTTGGGTTCCCTAAACCAAATGGCAGTGGTTCTTGCTACCACCCGAGGGGCCCCTGCTCCTGACCCCGTGCTGTGGGGCCATCCAGCAACCTCACAGTGGCCCTGCTCTTCTTCACTGGGAGAACCAGAGGCCACCCAGGCCTGGTCAGGCCCCCTGAGGGCCCCACTGAGCCCAGCATCCGGGCACGGCCTGCAGGGCAGGCACCCCTGCCCCACCCTCCCCCTACTCCAACTCCACGGCCACATTATAAGCCATTTCCGTGGACCGCAAGAGCCCGGAACATAATGTGGGTTTCAATCTATCAAGGCAGGAAGGACGAAAGAGAGAGGCAGGCGGAGCAAGGGCAGGAGGGAGAGCAGGTGGGGGAGGGTGGAGAGGGTTGGAGGGGCTGGGAGAGGAGCCATCTTAAGACACCTAACCAAGGGGCCACCAGCAGCTGCCAAGACAGTGACCAGCTCAGGTCAAGCCACCAGACATAAGAAGGAGTTGGGCCTCCCAATGGGAGGGGGCTGCCTGGAGGGGGCTGCCTGGGGACAATGAATGAGACTGCAGTGAAACCTTGGTTTCAGGCCCAGGTGGACAGCCCCAGGCCCCTGTCCAGGCCCACGTCACGGGTCATATCCTGCCCATTTCTCCAGGGAAGCTGAAAAGTGCACAGTCTCTGCGGGGTGCCACTCGGGTACGTCTCCCCACTCTCCCCACAGCAGCTGGGTGGCCTGGCCCCCACCTCCACGCCGAGCTTGGCTGCACACGCCATGACTGCACAGCACCTGTACCCGCCATAAGCGAGTCATGCTTTGTTGGGGGGATCTCAGGACAACCCCCAACTGCCTGGGATGTGGACCCGCTCCTTGAGGCTCCCTCTGGCGCCCACAAAGCCCAGGATGCAGGGAGGTCAACACACACCCAGTGGCTACCCTTGAAAAAGAACAATAGGAGGCTGGTGCTATGGTGCCACAGGTAAAGCTGCTGCCTGCGATGCCAGCATCCCATACGTGCCCCTGGTTCGTGTCTCAGCTACTCTACTTCCAATCCAGCTCTCTACCAATGGCCTGGGGAAAGCAGCAGAAGATGGCCCAGGTATTTGGGCCCTTGCACCCACATGGGGGACCTTGATGAAGCTCGTGGCTCCTGGCCCAGTCCTGGCCATTGTGGCCTCCCACTTTCTCTGTAACTCTTTCAAATAAATAAATATTAAAAAAAAAAAAAGAAAAAGAAATAAACAGGAGATGCTGCAGTTACATGGTTTTAGGGCAGTTGTTTGCTAATCTTGATGTTCATTAAAAAGCCACATCCCTGGGGACTAAGAATGCAGATTCCGGGGCCCTGTCCCCAAAGATTTTCACCCTAGGCCCAGGGTGGGGCAAAGAATCAGCATTTTACCAGCAGGTACAGAGTATGGCAAGAGGCGCTGGCACTGTGGCTCAGCAGGTTAAGCTGCTGTTTGCAGTGCCAGCACCCCACATGGGCGCCGGTTCAAGTCTCAGCTGCTGTACTTCTGATCCAGCTCCCTGCTAATGGGCCTGGGAAAGCATAAAAGATGGCCCAAGTCCTTGGGCTCCTGCACTCATGTGGAAGACCCAGAGGAAGCTTCTGACTCCTGGCTTCGGTCTGGCTCAGCCCTGGCCTTTGTGGCCATTTAGGGAGTGAACCAGCGGATGGAGGATATCTCTCACTCTCTCTATATATAGCTCTTTCAACTGAGTAAATCTTGAAAGAAAAGAAAAAAAAAAAAAAAAACAACATAGCAAGAAGCCCAGCCCCAGGCCACCAGCATCTGCACACTGAGATTACATGGATGCCAGGACGGACAGTCCCACCGCGAGGGATGGAAGGTGCCAGGCTGGTGGACGGCACAAAAGGCATCTCCTCTGCTGGCATGAGTCAAGGAGCAGGGACCCCTCCCCGTCCAGCCAGCAGATGTCTGGAACAGCGAGTGAGCCGTGCAGGTCTGTGGGATGGGCCCTCCACAACAAGACATCCTCCATGTCCACGTGTAACGGAATAACATCTCATTGAAACACACTCCCGGGAGCCGCGGGGACCAGCCGACCCGGAGGACAACCAAAGCAGTGCCAAGAAGTGCCACTCTGGACACAGGCGATTTAAAGCAACTGTGGACCAAGCAGGAGGGAGTCGGAACCCC